GTGCTCTGACCATCTGGCCACATAACCTACAAAGAGTAGATTTAAACAACTGTTGACTTTTCATAATATTTATAAGGAGGATTAAGAAGTAATCTGAATTGGGGGCAGGTTGGATGGAGACAAGGAGGAGAATTTTGAACATGTTGTGTTTGGAGTGACTGCAGGATCTGTAACTGGAGAAACGAGTAGATACACATAAGGGCGTGGATTCAGGAGATCATGGTGTTTTACATTTTAGTGTGAAATGTCCTCAGAGCGAACTGTTTTATTGTGGGGCAAATCTGGTATATTAATTAACCAGACAGAGCTCAATCTATTAACATAGTGATGAAGATTCTATAGCTGAAGGCCCCTTTTGTTCTGGGAGCTAATTTAAAAACTTGACCGTATCATGTAGTGTCCTGTAGGAGAATAATTTAACTGATCAGTTAAAGAATGGGACCTGGGTCTGGCATGGTAACCTAGTGGCTAAAGTCCTTGCCTTGAATGGGCCAGGATCCCATATGGGCAATGGTTTTAATCCCAGTAGCCCTGCTTCCCATCCAGCTCCCTGCTTGTGGCCTGGGAAAGCAGCTGGGGACTGCCCAAAGCCTTGGGACCCTGCACCCACATGGGAGACCTGGAAGAGGCTCTGGGCTCTTGGTTTCAGAGCAACTCTGGCTGTTGTGGCTGCTTGGGAAGTGAATCAACAGGTGGAATATTTTCCTCTCTGTCTCTCTTCCTCTCTATATATCTGACTTTACAATAAAATTAAATAAATCTTAAAAAAAGATGGGACCTGTAATGCCATAATGAGGATTAACCATAACCTAATCAACTACCAATAAAACAGTTAAATATATCTTGACAGTACAATACTGTATGTTCTATCTTTGCCTATACCCACAATGCCATAATGCAGTTACATAGCAGAATGTTAAACTTGTAACTATTACTACAGGACTATCCTACTGCAATAATATAGGGGAAATGGTGGGAGGGAAGAAGAAGGGAAGGTGAAAAGAGAGGGGGATTGAGGAATCTTCATACCTACAAAACAGTATCTTGGAAAACAATGTTAAAAATAAAGCAGATATGGTATTTATGCTTAATTGGGATAAAACCTAATCAACCAATGGTAACTTGATGAAAACAATTAGTTGCCTGGACCAGGGTTGTGGTGGACTAAGGCGGTGCATGTGATGCCAGCATCCCATTTGGGCATTGCTTTGAGTCCTGGTTGCTCCACTTCTGATCAGCTCCCTACTAGTGATCTGGGAAAGCAGCAAAAGATGACCTAAATGGTTGGGAGACCTAGAAGAAGCTGATGACTCCTGGCTTCAGCCTGGCTCAGTTCAGATGCAATTTTTGGGAAGTAGAGAAACAGATGGAAGACCTTTCTGTCCTCTTTCCCTAACTCTATTATTCAAGTAAATAAATATTTTTTAAAAATTAGTTGCCCAATACAGCTGATGAGCTAGAGTGTCAGGCAGGATGGCAAAATGTATGAGAAGCAAATATAGAGTGATGACATGAAAAAATAGACAGACAAACAAACAAACAAAAAAACTGCAGATAATGAAAAGTTCAATTTGAGCGGTGATTTTTTAGATTTCAAAAGAAGCAGGCACTTGGCCTGATGGCTAAAATGTTGATTGGTATACTGTTGGGATGCCCAAGTTCCTGGCTTTACTCCTAATTCCAGCTTCCTCCTGATGCACACCTCAGAAGATTTAAATTCCTGCTTTCCAGATGGGAGACCTTAGGTGATTTTCTAGCCCTTGGCTTCCACCTTAGGCAAGCACCATTGCTGATATTCAGAGAATTAACCAGTGGATGAATGGGAGAGTCTCTCTTTCTCTCCATCTCAAATAAACTAATAAAATTTACCACCCACCACCATAAACTCTAATAACCGTAATAGTGCATGGAAGTCAGCTTTTATATTGTAAGTATGAAATTCTCAAGTTTCTTTTGCTTGACAGTGATTTTGGGTGACTACAGGCAGTGGCTGTGTTAGTTTCAAAAGAAACCCTTGCTGTCCCACATTGCTCATGCTGTGTGTGCCTTTGGCTCAGAATGCCTTTCTCACTCCATCCCTCTTCTCCCAAACCCACTTCATCCTTCAACAACGCATCACAGATCCCAATGCCTCTCTGGGACTCCTCCCTACAACTTGTCCATCATTTCCAGTCAGCTTCTCGGGGTAGGGTCCTTTGGAAAGGGTGTGTGTGTGTGTGTTTTCTCCATTGACAGAGTCTAACCTCTTTGGGGATAAAGCTCAGCTCTTATTTTATGTGCCTTAAAGCATCTAACGCTCTTAAGAAACAAGGAGGTAGAAACGCCAGTCTGAGTTGATCATGACGCCACAATAGGGACATTCAGTCTTAAAAGGGGCTCTTAAGATTGACCAAATGGAATTTTCCAGATAATATGATCTCATTTGCTTTTATTTTGATACATAGAAGCTCTTCGCATCTGTCTCAATGTGTTTCCTGCTGGTGTAACTGAACTCTGTGAACTGAATAGTTACAAAGAATAAAGCAGTAGGGAGGTCCAAGGTCAAGAGGCAGCATCTAGTGATGCCCTCTCACTGGCAGTGACAGGCATTTTATGGCAACAGGGGTGCATCAAATAGATGGAGACACTCTGGAGACAAGCCACTAATCCATTAATCCATAAGTGGATTAATGCATTCACCAAGGCAGAGAGCTCTTATGATCTAACCACCTCTTATAGGTCACACCTCTTAATAACTCACAATGAGGATTACATTTCAACAGGAATTGCTGTGGGAACATTCAAACCCTAGCATCATTTAAATCCTGACATACAACTCACAATTTGAGATGTGAAAGCTTAGTTTTACAAGGCAAAAGTCATTGTCACAAAACATTTAAAAAAAAAAAAGTAATTGTCAAACAGGATGGCAAGCTGTTTTCCATGGAAATTCTCACCTTAAAAAAATCCTGTCTTTAAGATGCAGTCTACAGGTTAATCCTTCAACCAGTGGGTGTCAGCAGCCCATATGGGCTGCTCCACTTCCCACCCAGCTCCCTGCTTGTGGCCTGGGAAAGCAGCAGAGGAGGGCCCAAAGCCTTGGGACCCTGCACCCGCGTGGGAGACCTGGAGGAGAGTCTTGTCTCCTGGCTTCAGATTGGCTCAGCTCTGGCTGTTGTGGCTGTTTGAGAAGTGATCTGGCAGATGGAAGATCCTCTCTCTGTAAATCTGCCTGTCCAATAAAATAAATAAATCTTAGAGAGAAAGAGAGAGATTTTCAGTCTGATTCCAGCTATGGGGAAAAATCTACCTATACCTAGAAAAAATGATGGGAAGGAAATCTGCCAAACTTTACACTTTTTGATGCCATTAAAAAAAGATCTATGTTCAAAACACTTTTAGGATGAATAGGACTTTTATAGCTAAAAATTATGCTTAAATATTTTGCCTTCATCAAAAGAGTATGTATTTTTGCTCTAAGAGATTTTTTGCCACTCGTGATCAGTTATCAGTTTGTGTCAAACCACAGCAACATTGACAAAACAAAGCCTATGGGGTACTCAGTAAAAACTTGGTAATGAGGGATTTAACATGCCTGGCTAAGGAATATTTCACAAATACACACAGTTAAAAAGGCTGGGGATGTGACCGAAATTTTGGTTATAATAGTTGTAGGCATCTGGGATGAATCAGAGAGATTAGCCTGAGGAACTAGGCACTTTTAAATATCTTTTACAAGAATATTTCTGTTTTCTCTGTGCCATTTAACTCTTTGACCACACTAAATTCTTCCTCTGGAATGTTGGATGCATATTTCTACTTCTCTCTTTAAACTGTGATTCTGGTAAACACATAAACACTGTTCACATATCCTGTCATTTTTTATTCCTTTTCTCTTTTTATTTTTAAGGATTTATTTAATGTATTTGAAAAGCAGTGTTGAAAGAGAAAAATATTTTTCTATACACTGGTTTACTCTCCAAATGGCCACAATGACCAGTTCAAAATCAGGGTCCTGAAATTCCACCCTGGACTCTCACATGAGTGCAGGGGCACACTGGGTCATCTGCTGCTGCTTTTCCAGGTGCATTATCAGCGAGCTGGATGGAAAGCGGAGCAGCTGGGACTAAAACTTGCACTCGTAAGGAATGCTGGTGTCACAGGTAGTGGTTTAATCTGCTGCACCACAATGCTGGTTCTCTTTCTCTAACAACAACAAAAACTTCCTTTCATGATAAAAAAAAAAAAAAACCTTCATACCCACTGCAGATTCTTTGATTCAGTAAAAAATGAAAAAGGAAATCACAATCTTTTGCAGTCTCTCTACTATGAGACCATCACAAGTTCTTACATTTTTATGTCTATGTTTTTTAAGGACGGGTCCAGCTGTGTAAATGACATTTGCACTGTATCCTATTTTCCCTTCCAGTTAAACATCACACATCATGGGCATTTCAGCCCCCTTATCATTGGAAATGCAGTCAAGTTCATTTCCCATTGACAGCTTTATAAATCTCCAGTTGCATGTGCCTGATGTTCCTAGACATTCCAAAGCTTTCCTGATGCTAAGAGCTGTACAAGCCCTTTTCCATGACTATCCATGACCTTCTCTGCACCACTCTGCTCCTTACTCATCCTCAACTCAGCATGTAGACACTGGGCTATGCCAAGCTGAGCTGTGTGAGAATGGACCAAAGTGACCAAAACGCAAAGTAACAGGCTCAACCCAGGCTTGGCCTTCCAGTTCCTGAGGAATCTTTCCCAGCTTCAAAAGGAGGGCAAATCCCTCAGCAAAAATCCTAAGGGCCTAATTAATGGTCCTTGTTCCTTAAACTAAAATGCACCTGGAACAACGGGGAAACTTGAGAGGCGTTGGGAGGAGGAGGAAGTGACAGCCCCACCCAACTCTGGGATGGAAGGAAGGTTCTAGTATGACGTCTGTGAATGCTCAGGAAGGCAATTAGGTCTGGAAGTTCAATGCTGACTAGTGAAGGCCTTGGACTGACACCAGAAGGCAGGAGATGGATCAGGGTGAGTGCTGGGAGTTTATTTCACTTTTCAGAGGACTAAGTCAAGCAGGGTAGAAGGTGAACAGAGGAGGCAGAAGAGCCTGAAGTGACAGCTGCTGGTTTACTGCATCTTCCAACTTCTCTCCTGTTTCTCCACCTTCTTTCAGGCTTTGGGGCACAGATAACATAACCACTCCTTTTCTTTCCGGATGCTGTGAACAATCTTTTCTTCAGCTCGGGAACTAGAGCTGCCTGGGGAAGTCTGAGGTGCTTGGTGTGGGGTGCACGGGGGGATGTCTGTAGCTGACCCTGGAACTGTGGTGTGATCCTGCTCAGACTCCAGCCCTCCTCAACTCCAGCTTCTCTCCTGGCTCACAGTTCCCACCCTGTTGAGAGCAGCTGTTCCTACCCATGAGTCCAGGTTCTTTCTTAGATGCCTTGAGGGTCCCTGCTTTTCCACATCTGGGAGCTAGAACAGGGCCCTTCCCCAAGGCCCAGACACCCTGACAGGACCAGCAGGCCTGCCAGGGGAGGACACTACACCTGAATTATTTATTTCTATAAATTGTGTTTCATAGATCCTAGTAGAGATTAGAGAGGTAAATAGTTTTTAGCATATAAGCTAGAGTTTGAGAAGGATCAAGAGCTTTTCTCATGTGTTAGATAATAAGACTAAAAATAAGACATGATCTTTTAAAGTGGTATACTTTAATCATATAAATAATACAGAGTAATATATGCTTGTTCTGAAAAGCAAAAAGTGTCTACATCAGAACGAACAAAAAGCTCAAGCAGTCCTATTTATACATATGAGGAACTTCAAAAATCTCATGGGAAAATGGAATGAAAGGATAAGTTTATTGGTGCCAGTGTCATGATGCCACATGATAAGCAGCTGCCTGTGAAAGGAACATCCCACATAGAGTGCCAGTTCTAATCCCAGCTGCTCCACTTCCAATCCAGCTCCATGCTAATGTACCTGGGAAAACAACAGAAGATGGCCCAAGTGCGCCTGCACTCACACAGGAGACCCAGATGGAGTTCCAGGATCCTGGTTTTGGTGTGGCCCATCCCTGGCCATTGCAGCCATTTAGGAAACGGGTCAGCCAACAGAAGATCTCTGCTCAAATAAATGAAAATAAGTCTTTAAAAAATAGAAAAGTTGCTTACTTTAATGCAAATATTTTTGAAACCCATGCATAGCTTTCTCATAGTATGCATTTTCTAAAGTCTTCTGATGTGCACAGATTTCAAATTTTTTATATCAAAATAAAATTATCTTAATTTTCTTTTTTTTAAGGACTTACTTATTTTTATTGGAAAGTCAGATATATAGAGAAGAGGAGAGACAAAGAGGAAGGTCTTCCATCTGATGATTCACTGCCCAAGTGAGCGCAACGGCCAGTGCTATGCCGATCTGAAGCCAGGAGCCAGGAACCTCCTCCAGGTCTCCCATATGGGTGCAGGGTCCCAAAGCTTTGGGCCGTCCTCAACTGCTTTCCCAGGCCACAAGCAGGGAGCTGGATGGGAAGTGGAGCTGCCAGGATCAGAACCAGCGCCCATATGGGATCCTGGTGTGTTCAGGGTGAGGACTTTAGCCGCTAGGCCACACCGCCAGGCCCTAATTTTATTTTCCATAAATGCTTTGAAGAGCCTGCTCCATCCCTATGGGAAAGCTCATCAACAGGTTTATCACTACTTCGAGATAAAACTAATTTATGTGAAATGGTTTCACAAATGAGATAATAGACATTATTTGGTGATTTGCTTTTTTGAACAGCTTAATCGTATATGTCATAAATCTTCACATGGAGGCCTCCAAAAACTCATAATGATTTAGTTTTCCATCCTGGGCACATAAGCACAATTTATACGATACATTGATTGAATTACTTGGTTTGTGACTATCCCTTATTGATGGGCACTTAGATTATTTCTAATAAGCAATATTCCAGTGGATGCCCTCTTTGATATAACTTTGCATGCAGGTGCAAATATTTTTTCATAGGAAAGATTTCTAAAAGTGCAACTGTTGGATCTGTCAACCACTAAGAGAAACTGAGGCATAAATCAAGCAAACAACAGAAAAATTTGACTTTGCTTTGAACTGCAGCCCAGGAGACACAAATCCAAGGAGCTCTGAATTTATGTACCCAGGCCTCACAGATTTCAAACCCCTAACCTCAGTAGGTGTTGGGCCCACGGTGAAGGTGCTGCTTGAAATGTCTGCGTTCCATAACAAACCACCTGATCCGAGTCCCCCTGCTCATTAGCATCCTGGGAAGGCAGTCAAGGATGGCATAAGTATTTGGGTTCCTGCTCTCCAAGTGGGGGGATGTGGGAGATCTGGATGGAGTTCCAAACTCTTGACTTCAGCCTGGTTTAGCCTTGGCTATTGTTGGGAAGTGAAGCAGAGGGTAGAAGATCAATCTCTCTCAAATAAAATGCAAATGTTTTTAAAGACAAAGATTCTAAGTGGAGGATTATGTCAGTTGTTTGCTGAGAATTTGAATTGATGCAAGCAGGGTAGCATACTGTTTTATAAGTAAGGGATTGGAACAATTAAGGAATGCACTTTAGTTTTCAGAAAGAGAAGTGGAAAAGACACAAAAAACAAAGAACTATTGGGACCAGCATCATGGCTTAGTGAGTCCCAGCTGTTCCACTTCTGATCCAACTCCCTGATAATGTGCCTGAGGAGGCAGTGAAGGGTGGCTCAAGTGCTTGGGCCCTGACCTGCCAGTGAAAGACCCAAAGGTGGCTCCTGGCTCTTGGCTTCAGGTGTGGTCCAGCCTTGGCTGCTGTGGTCATTTGAAGAGTGAACCAGTATACAGAATATCAGTCTCTCTCTCTCTAACTCTGGCTCTCAAGTGGATTAAAAACAAACAAACAAAACCCCAACAAAACAAAGAAATCTTGGGAAAGGAAGGAGCTGAGGAGTGAGAACACAGTGATCTATCTATAGAGTGGAGATATTCCATTTTAATAAAAACCATGGTTCTTAGTACATACATTATAGGATGGATAGAGTTTGGGACTGAGTGGGAAGGCAGTGTTCAGCTGCACAGGGTCAGAGTTTCTTCTCTGAGTCATCCTTGGCAGCAGTCAAGTCTCCCATGTCCTTGGCCTATAGTTTTGGAGGTGCCTCAACCTGTTTTGTCTTTTGATTCTTAATGTTTTTTTTTTTTCAGGGGGAAAAGCAATATCCACTTTTGATGGCTTTCAGCCACATTTTTCCCCCTAAAATGTCTGCCATAAATTTATACTTTCACTATCAGTATATGACATGGTCCATTTCCATATACTCTCAACAAAAGAGGTTATTGTTACTATTTTTCTTAGACGTATTTAATGGTGTGAAAGGCAGATTAACACAGAGAATAGGTGTAGTTCTGTCTGCTGTGGCACTGCCCAAACACCTATAATAGCCAGGGCTGGGCTAGGCTGAGGCCAAGAGCCAGGATTTCCACTCTGGTCTCCTAACTGTGTGTCAGGGACCCAAGTCCTTGGGGCAGAAGCAACTGTTTTCCCAGGCATATTAGCAGGGAGCTGGATTGAAAGCAGAGCAGCTGGGACTCAAGTCTGGATTCCTGTTTGGGCTACTGCAAAATAAGTGGAAGTTTGACTTGCTGCATCGCAATGCCAACCCCATTGTCACTTTAAAATGTGTTTGAATGGCTCTCATTACTGCGTTTGCTAGAATTTCTGTGATTACAGTAGGACTCTCTTCTTAACATTTGTTTCCCCTTTTATGTATTATGAGCAGTAATCCTTTCTTGCAGTTGAAGCAAAATTGACTTAAGCTGTGCAGCCAGCCTGAAAACACCTCTGTACTGCTAGGGGCTGCTGGAATTGCTGGGCACCATTATGGGTCATTGTGTATATACCATCAAATGAAAATAATGTCTCAAGGAATTAGCACAACAGTAAGTCATGAACTGAAAAATCACTAGTCAGAGTCTGAGGAACTGCAGAGCAGGGAGAGACCAGGCAGGGACCCGAAGCTGGTTCTGTTCTGCTGTGTACTTTGGCCCATTCTAGCATTTGGGGATGAGGAGGCTGAGATGCAACTGTGGTTTTCACTGCATTCTAAACAGTAGTCTAAGAGACCCCTGCCTGGCTCTTCTGCCCAGTGGACCCTCTTAGGACATCCATTAGATTTTCATTAGAAGAAGGTTTGGAATCCTTCAGACCCATGCCCCTCTCCAGAGCTTAAGAGCTAGGAACTGTAGTCAAGCTGGTTAGGTTTAAATGCCACTTTCGCTGCTTCCTAGGGAGGAGACACTGAAGGAGTTATCTAACTTAGATTGCTCATATTCCTACTCACCTACAATGTGGAATTGATACTATCTTAATGAATAGTAGGGATAGAAGGAGGAAATGCATATAAAACCTTAATAACATTCAGTAAACATTAGCCAGATATAAATTTACTATTTTAACTGTTAAGAAATTCCCTTGTTCTGAAATGCTTGGAAGGATTTTCACAGACAAAGTAGATGTTGGGTTTTCCTTGAAAAATAGATACAGGCAAATGAAGACACAAAAAGATCAGGAAGGGTCAGGGGCTTTAAAGCTGTGGAGCTGGGCATCATCATTTGGAGGCCACTTGTGAGGGGACTTCACATCGTTCATGGAAAACAGAATCCAATGCTTATTAGTTGAAACAATTTTTTAAAATCCCTGCACAGTTTTTTTCATAATACATTATTTTCTTCTTTTTAACATTTATTTATTTTTATTGTAAAGTCAGATATACAGAGAGGAAGATCTTCCATCTGATGATTTACTACCCAAGTGGCCGCAACGGCTGGAGTTGTGCTGATCTGAAGCCAGGAGCCAGGAGCTCTCCTCCTCCAGGTCTCCTACACGGGTGCAGGGTCCCAAAGTCTTGGGCTGTCCTCAACTGCTTTCCCAGGCCACAAGCAGGGAGCTGGATGGAAACAGGGCTGCTGGGATCAGAACCGGTGCCCATATAGGATTCCGGCATGTTCAAGGCGAGGACTTTAGCTGCTAGACTACCGCGCCAGACCCATAATACATATTTTCCATGAACTTTTTGAAGATTATTTACGGGTTATGGGGAGAAGAATTGCATACACATGTTGGGACCACATTATGATGAGCTGTGGATCTTTGGCTAAGGAATCTGGAGTTGAATGCTTAATCACACATTTTTATTCTTACATACACTATTCTGTGCACAGAAGCTAGCAATCTTAACACAGAGGTATCTTCCTCATGCGTTTACACACAGATATACCTCTCAGGTGTTTTCGGGGGAGAAATGAAAAATAATGAAGTACTTGCAAAAGTTCCTAAACCCTATCACTTCTCAGCCTTTTGGCTAAGATCAATTTTCTAACCCAATAATAATATTGAGAAAAAGAAAAAGACATAAGGTTGGTGTTTCCCATACAAAACGGGAGGGTCCCTCTTTTCCTTTTTTTGGCACCCATGTTCAAGTCCCCATTAGTCCTTGGCCTTGGTTATTGTGATGGCATTCACTGGCCTCCCACTCTTTCATTTTTACCTCTCCAGTGTGGTCTACACAACACAGCTAAATTCATGCTAAAGCACAGCATGTATTCTGACAGCCCTGTTCACAAACTTGCCTTTAATCAAAATAACACTGTTCTCTAAACACAAAGGGAAACAGCTGCTAAGCACAAGGTTGGAAGACACCAAGGTAAACAAAATAAAATAAATATAAAATAAAAATGTCCCGTAATTTTACCACCCACCTAAGGATAAGTTATATTTTGTTTTAAAATCTTTTCTATTTTAGTTTTTAATATCTGGTGAATTTTCTCCCACTTGACTTTTTTTTTTTTTTCTCATTGCTACTGCTGTTGGTGTCTTCTTTGTCGCTCAGGACAAATGAGAGAAATGACATTTACATATCCCAGGTTTATGGTAGGATATTTGAGTGAACAGAACAACCTTAGGCTTATGTTTTTGTGCACAAATGATTTTCTTGGAAACACCTCCTAGAAGCAGCATTTTGGGGGACCAAGGTATTAATGTTTTAAGGCTTTCTCTTCTTTTGCAGTAAACACTAATAAATAGTCCTCAGAAAGGAGGACAGTTTTAATCTCTCATCAAGGGTGAGTACCCTCACTCAAGTACCAGTGTCATGGTTTGGGGCCAAGTCCCTTCTCAATACTTATCCTTTCCTCTGGCCTGCTGCTGTGAGGCGCTCCTCCCTCAGGCACATCATTGAGCCCCATGGGGTACGGGGGCAGAGAGGACAATGCCGTACTGGAGCCATAGACATGGCTTGAATTCCAGTTCTGGCCACCAACCTCCAACAGTAACAACATTTCACAGTGGTTATGAGAACCTAAATGTACAGAGTTCCACACACGAGGGTGCCTCAAACAGTGCCTGGCTTATAGGTCTCCAATAAAAACACTAGCCACGGTTACTTGCACTTGAGCTCCACTCCCACCAAGGGCAATCTGGCTTCAAGAAGACAGTGGCAACTTCTGCTTCCATGGAACTGATTCTAAGCGCCCTTCAGTGCTGGAGAGAAAGCACTGACAGCTAAGCATCCTGGGGGCAGAAGGAGGGGCGTGGGGCTCAGTGGCCAAGGATACCCCATACAGAGTTCGCCTCTGAGCCGAGAAGAGTTTGGGGTGCCGGGGAGGGCAGGACCGGCTCGGATTTTTGTCTCAGCTGTCCTGAACTTGCTGCAGAGAGACTGTCTGTCTCCACAATTTTCAAAGGCTGCTAATACACTGGGATTTATTTTGATCCTTTTATACCACTGTCTTTATATTAGTCAAACTCAGGCCAGAAGTCTGTTGATGGCGGAGGCTTCCCTCTCCTCTTACTCATGTCCTTGGCTCTGCGGGCCTGACGCCAAGGCAGAGAGAGGGCTGTGTGGGCGCGGGCTTTTACTAATTGTTTGTACTCCATTGGCTGCTTTGCTGAACTTTTACCAGATCTTCTTGGCGTTCTTTGCTCCCTCAAAGCCCTTCCTTTCACTCTGTTAAGTCACTGTTTCCTCGTTGTGAAAAGCCCTTGAGTGAACCCGGTTGCCTAAGCATGTTAAGTAGAAGGAGCAAGAAAACCCAGAGTATCCCAGGAGTTTTCTCCCTGCACAGCCACCTTAGCCATGAGGAGGAAGAGACTTCCTTATTCCTGTTCCTTGCCTACTCCCATGCTCTCTTCTCTTCCCAAACCCAGCAAAGCCTGGGCAAAGGAGAAATCCAGTTAACTCCCTTCCCAGCTCTATCTTGACCAGCAAAAGGCAGCCACGAAAGAAATAGCAGCCCCGTATCCACTCCCAAGATGGAGGGGCTAAGAGGGCTCCCGTACATTCTTCCTGGCCACTTCCTGGTGGGCTTCCAGCTACTGGGTGTTCCCTACAGGAAGCACAGGTTTCCTCGGAACACTCCATGATTCTGGTACAAATGAAACAGCCTGCTTCCAGAATGATCTAGTTCACTTGCTAACAATTTTTTTTTAAAAAAGAATTTTTCTGTCAATTTGAAAGAGATATAGAAAGAAGAAGAGAGATCTTCCTTTTGCTGGTCCACCTCCCAAATGTCCACAAAGGCCAGGAGGAAACTTCCAGTTCTTTCACATAGGTGGTAGGGGCCCAAGTACTTAGGCCATCTTCCACTGTTGTCCCAGGTACAACTATCAGGGAGCTGGAAGGGAAGTAGAGCATCCAGAACTTGAACCAGTGCCTATGTGGGATGCCAGCACCATAGACAGCCTAGCCCTTTGCACAACAATGCTGATCCAATTCCCACTCTCTTGACTCTGACCCCCCAGTTGCACAGGAAAATATCCTGGCTCTTGCTAGGCAGCGCATTGTAACTTCTTTCATTTTCCTTAAACTTGGCCACTTCTTTCTAAGTTGATTTCAGAAACTACTAATGGCTTGGACTTGAAGTTTAAAATATGCCATTGAATATCACAAAGACACTTTTCTTAGATATCTCCTTGAATTTTCTGGTGCCAGTTACACAGCTATTGAAATCCCAAATCATATCAAGAGGCTGAAACACTGTGTTTTATCCAGTAATTTTCCTGTGATGAAGTGACCTTGGGGAGAGATTTTCTAGGAGTGGGAGAAGGGGAGAATCGAGAGACCTCTGTGCATAGTCTATTGGCAGTCAAAATCTTTGGCGAAGTTATGAGAAAGATCAAGCTATGAAAGCCGGATTTGATTTCAGACTGTGAAAGAATTTCTACAAGCATTGAATTCAGTTTCCCCATTTAAAGAGTTAGAGGTGCTCACAGCTGATGGAACAACATCCTCTATAATGTATCGGCGTTAACCTGCAGGGAGGGCCTGGTGATAGCCCACAAGGTCTGCAGGGAAAGTCCTAAAGCTTAAAACCACCTATCCTCCATGAATGCCTTGGAGGAAGACATGGAAGACAGTCCCAATGATCCAGAGCCAACCAGGCAAAAAATCTGGGTGAAGAATTAGGGTTCCAGAAATTGAGACAAATAGGGAGAGGAGAAGTAAAAACACAAAACCCACGTGGACATTCAAAGCATAAAGGACATACTCTCTGGCTGCAAACCCACCAGACTTCTCCCTCCAGTATACTGTGTAGCCACATCTCAGGCTTGACCCTCCTTGGTGGTGGGGTCTGCTTCTCCCCATCACGCCAAAGTCTCCAGACATTGATGAATGTCCTCCAGGGGGGCAGTATCTTCTAGCTGGGAACCACAGGGATAGATCGATTTATCTACCCCTAGGCAAGCAACACTTCATGGATTTTATCTGACAAAGTCACATACACATCATCAGCAAAAATAGCAAAGTGAATGCAACCAGAACCTGTGTTCTTGATACTCCTCTAAGAGTACAACCTTTCATGAGCCTTGTGTTGGAGAAACAGAATGACCACTGTTTTCCCAACAAGGACACTTAGTCTAAGGGACACTGAGGACTCCTCGCCTAGGTGGTAGACTCAGGGCCGTGTCCCTCCAGAGCCTGCCCACTCACCTGTGGTTCTGTGAGTTTCATACCTATCCACTAGGCATACACATTCCAGGAGCCAGCAGTGCTTTCCTTACATACCTGGAACTCAGCTGAGCAACCAGAAATAAGTGACATCTAAACCTGAGCCTCCTCCATATCCTAATGCTGGGACTGACTCTGTTAGCTGAGGTCCAGTCTGCTCACTGGTTCATTCATGCAAAGTTCTAATGTGCTTACTCTGTCAGTAGGGTTGTTGAATGAGTCTAGGAGGATTGTCAATGTAGAGTTTGTGATGGTATGTCAAGAGTTAAATTTCAGTTATCTGGGATGGATTCATTTTCTGGAGCCCCAATCCAGCACTGGGTCTCCACGACCCCAAAGTCAGACGTCACCAGAATGGAGAGTCTTCAAGCCCCAGGCCAGAGCCTGCTGAACTGCCTTCTGAGACGGAGTTGTGAAACTAGGAGAGGGGACAGAGTGACCAGAAGGCTACAAACTGGACAGGAATCTCAAGTGAAGACAGAGTTGGTGCACAGCATGGAGAAGAGTCAGGACATCACAGTGTTATGTGAGTCCAGGCTGCTCTACTTGTGATCCAGCTCCCTGGTAATGCTCCTAGGAAAGGGAAGATGATCGAAGGGCTTGGGCCCTTGCTGAATATGTGGGAGACCCAGAAAGAGTTCCTTGCTCTTTGACTTTGGCTTGGACCAGCTCCAGTCACTGTGGCTATTTGGGGAGTGAACCAGCAAATTGGAAATCAATCTCTCTCTCCTCGTGTCATTCTCTGTCACTCAAATAAATAAATCTTAAGGAGGTGCTGGGGATGTTTGAGTCCCAGTAGTTGCAAGCGGGGAGTGATCTGCTCTCCTCCACCCCAGTGGCAGCCTTGAAGCTCACATCTGTGGACCTTCAGAGCTCCCAGAACAACAAGGAGCACCACACACAGGAGATGGGTCTGGGGCGGCTCATCGTGCGCCGTGGACAGCTCTTCCACATCCGGCTGGGCTTCCACCGACCCTTCCAGCCCTACTCTGATCACGTCACCTTTGTGGTTGAGATTGGTAAGTTCACCTGCTTCAGGCTCCGCAGCTTTCCCTCAGAGTGAGGGTCTTGACTGAGTTCACTTACAAGCCTCCTGCCCCTCCTTTCTCATCCATTGGGACCCCTTTCCACCCCGCAAAACTCTCCCACTTAGTATCCTGTTAGTGCCATTGGGGAAAAGTTTGGTCAACTGCACACACTGTTGGCCAAACAGCTGACCCTCACATTTACAAGTGCATTGCTAAAGCTTCACACTCATGACCTCACTCAATTCCCCTAATAAGACTTTCAGGTGGATTCTTACAAGAATCTCCACATCACAGAATTTTTAACAAAGAAATCTTTAGTGGCTTGCTCAGGGATAGCCATTCCCTGCAGGGAGATCCTATTACATGAAGTGTGGGACTGAAAAATAAAGCAGTGGACAAGGCAGCAACATGAGCAACAAGACGCACAAGCAGAGGGAGAAGGGTACAGTCCTTCACAATTCGCCCATATCAGGAGTCAAATGCCACACAGACTTCTAGCTTCACTTTGGGGGGGTCATTCTCTCCTACCCAGGACCTGAACCCACAGAGCTGCTGGGAACCCGAGCCACATTCCCACTCATGCAGGCCCGAGGCAGGAAGGGCTGGAGTGCTTCTGACTTCGCCGTGGACTCCAACTTTCTCCAGGTCTCCCTTTTCTCCCCAGCCAACGCAGTTATTGGCCATTACACCCTGAAGATAGAGATGGCTCAGAGTCAAGGCCATAGCGTGGCTGTCCCGCTGGGGACCTTCACCCTGCTTTTTAACCCCTGGAGCGCAGGTAGGACTTTCTGCTGGGCGGTAATGCTGACTGACTGTCCCTGGGGATGCCTTCCAGGTCTTCTGAGAAAGTCCAGGTGACATATTGCTGTGTATCTGTGTAGTTCATGACCCCATGCTCTCACTAAAAATCATTGATACAATTTTTTAATTGTATGATGGAAACATTTCTGACATTTAGTGAACTAGCCGCTCAGAAAACAGAATATGCCATCACCCTCATTGTATGACACCTGCAAGGGTAACTTCAAAGGATTATGCAAAATGGAATTGAAACCTGAGTTTCTTTGGGTGCAAAAAAAAATTGTATTGAAATCCACACAGGAGCCTTCAAAATGCTTTTGGAAAAATGTATATTTTGACCAAAAAAAAAGGGGATGGTCCCAAAATAAACTGATTTTAAAATATCATATTCCATGAAACATTTGAAGTTCCCTTCTGTGTTCAGAGAAAGAGCAAGGGGCCAGAATACACAAAAAGGCCATGGCAAATCTCTCCAGGTGGCAGAAACGAGTGATTATTTCCAGCATCTTCTTCATGTCCATCTCAATTTTCCAAATCCCTGTGATTAGCTTGTCTCTTTTACTGTCAGGAAAAGGCAGTCATGACTTTTTAAGAGTATACCTTGTACTGCCAGCCTCTAGAACAACGCTGAGTTGGCCTCCGGGGCGGCCAGGCTATTTCCATTGCCATTAACCCACTCCTGGCTCCTCCTGTCTTGCAGAAAGATGCTGTGGTGACTGTGTTTAATGTTGTTACTCTGTTTTCTGGTTTGCCGTGGTATTCTGTCCGCTGCTCTCACCGACTCAGAGGATGATGTCTACCTCCCAAGTGAAACCCTGCTGCAGGAGTACATCATGCGGGACTATGGCTTTGTCTACAAGGGCCATGAAAGATCTGTCAGCTCCTGGCCTTGGAACTACGGGCAGGTAACACCCTCACCTGAAGGTGGGCCTGGGTGGGCCCTTAAAACTGTCTCATGGACAACTCTACCAGCTTATGAAAGGTATCTGACCCAGGCCCAGGTCCGAAGGGGTTGAGACAAGCCTGTCCAGGGGAGGGAGATGCTTTTCCTTTTCAGTTTTCAAAAAGGTTTATTTATTTATTTTCATCTACTTGAAAGGTGGAGAGAGAGAAAGAGAACTTTCATATCTTGGTTCACTATCCAAACACACACACCTATGCCAAGTCAAAGCCAGAAGCCAGGACATCCATCTGTGTCTGAGTCTCCCATGAGTGGCAGGCCTGAGCACTGGAATCACTGCTGCTTCCCAGTGCAACAGCAGGAAGCTGGGTCAGAATCAGAGCCAGAACTCAAACCAAACACTCCCACGCAGAATGCAGGACCACAATGTCCTTCCCTCCTTTTTAGTTTTTAAGATTTTATGATGAAAAGACTTAGAACATAGTCAAAATAGATAGGCTGCTGTAATGAACCTCCAGGAACCCATTTGTGCCTCAGCCATGATCAATTTTTAGTGCGTCTTGTTGCATCTCACTATATATTCAGGATTTGCTGACAATGACCATGGGTCAAACATGTCCCATGTCACAAATCCCTTGTGACATGTAAAAGAAACGGCATGGAATTTGAATTTTAGAATCCACAAATAAAATTTTGTTTGGAACACAGCCTTGCCCATTCATTTGGATACTGTCTGTGATTACATTTGAGCCAGACTAGCAGAGTTGATTAATAAGACCCACAAAGGTCTGCTGAGGCTAAAATAGGGGTACTTACTCTCTGGTCCTTTACAGGAAGAGTTTGCTCACTGGTGATCCATATCCACCCATTTACTCTACCCCAGAGACTACCCTGTAGTCATTGGAAGTTGATCATAGCTACTATGCCCTAGGAATGCTTCAGATGAGAGCTCTCCAAGACAATGACTGCACATTTACACACAGTAATTCAATATCTCAACTGGCAAAAACGAAGAGTAATTCTCAAATACCATCAGCACCCAGTATACAGGGTAAGACTGGGACTCAAGGCAGCTTCTCTACTCTCAACCCCAAACCGCTGCAAGAGTAGCTTCTCACTTCCTCCCCTGCTCACCAGTCTTATCCACAAACTCCAGGAGGGAGGCAGCAGCCCTGCTAAAACAAAAAAGCACATTTCCTCTCTCTCATCTGGAGCAACTTGTGGAAGCTTTGGACACTGAGTTAATACTGGTATATTTGCCAGCTGAAAGAACTGCTGCATATGACAAACATACATTGTAAGCACAGGTCATGAGCCTACACTGGCTTTGTCTGGTGATCACAGAGTTAGCTCTAAGCTTACCCACCTGATTTTTACACTTTTATTTATTTGAAACTCAGAGACAGAGAGAAAGCACATTGGTGAGAGAGCGATCACATCCATTGATTCATTCCCCAAATGCTTGCAACAATCAGAGTTAAGCCAGGCTAAAGCCAGGAGCTAAGAACTTGGTCCAGGTCTCCCATGGGGGGTGTCAAGGACCCAAGTACTTGAGTCATCACCCGCTGCCTCTCAGAGTGTGCAGGGTGCCTCAATCAGGAACGGAGCCAGGTATTCCTGCTATGCCAAATGCCCACTCCTGCTCTACCTGATATCAATATCCCCCCATCTTCTCTGTTCCCTCCAATACTGGGTCCCATACATAGTCATATTTGCCCAACTGATGTTTCATTGCTCCCATAAGACCCCAGAGAGGAGGCTAAATCCTGGGCACCTATCACAGGCACAGGCCTCAGGGCAACGGGTCCTCACTCTTCCATCTTCCTGTCCACCTCCTCCTTCAAATCCACCGACTCCCAAATCCTCAGAGTGGTTCATCGGTCTCCCTGCCTCTCTCCTGCCCTGAATACTGTGTGTATTTTCTGTGGCAGGCACATGATTCAGTTTCTCAGAACTGCAAATCCAAGACCTGCCCAGTTTGATGTTTAAGCTCTAGGAAGCCAGGACCTTGTGTTAAAAGCAGGTTGGTCCATTAGTGACTTCCAGTTTTGGAACTTGGGACCTTGTTGCTCTTCTTTCTCTCTCTTTTTTGTTTTCTCCTTTGAAATCTCTGGGCAGTTCGAAGAGGGCATCCTTGACATCTGCTTTGAGATCCTGGACAGAAGCCTGCATTGCTTAAGGAATCCATCCCAAGACTGTTCCCAGCGAAGTGATGTGGTGTACGTGTGCAGGGTGGTGAGTGCCATGGTAAGCACAGACACTCCTGCCCCTTCCACCTTGGGCAGTGACCTGGCTCAGGCCAGGGCTGTGTGAATGTTCCTGCCTGTCCTGCTCCCAAACCCTTCCCTGCAGATCAACAGCAATGATGACAGTGGCGTGCTGCAGGGCAACTGGGGTGAGGACTACTCGCAGGGAATCAGCCCTCTGGAGTGGAATGGCAGCGTGGCTATCCTGAAGCAGTGGTCGGCCAGGGCCGGGCAGCCAGTCAAATACGGACAGTGTTGGGTCTTTGCCTCTGTCATGTGCACTGGTGAGTGGAAAGTCGCTTCTGCAATTGACACGTTCACCTCTGACCTCAGACCTTGGTGTTCCCAGCTTTGAGAGACTGGGAGCACCAGAGACACGATAAGTACACCCAGCAGGGAGCCAGCACACGATATCATCTCTAGGTGCCCATATCGATGTGACCGGCAGTCACCTGTTGAAATTACCCCAGCCTCCACCACGGGGACAAGCAGATTATTCCCCAGGTAGAGGAGTTCACAGCTCCAAAGCAAAGGGCAGCCGCTTCTTTTTTGCAATTAGTTTAGGCTCCTTGGCTCAGCAGGGGCTTGGAGTTGGTAACGGGTAGGAGGAGGCTGCAGGTATAAACAGGTGACATGGGTTAGCTCGACCTCACCCTTAGGCAGTGCTAGCAGCTCTCAAGTGCTTCTCTGAGAGATTCTAGAAGAGTTGTGGATCGAGGTTTGCTCCTTTGCTCTTTACCCTTAAGCAACATCAATGTTTTGTGTACCCTCCTCTGTTAGCTGCAATTCTCTGTCTAGCTGCTGCTGAGATGCTCTGTGGAGGTGGTGGGAGGGCAAAGAGCATGGAGGTGCCTGGGAGGGGCCAGGAGACCTCCCCTTGGGCCACCCTGTCTACTACATTGCTCCTTCAACACTTGCGACTTATCTCTAAGCTGGAGAGGTGGGGAGCATAGGGTGAGGAGGACAGAGATAGGCTGACACCAGGGTTCTGGGTTTCTCTCCAAAAGGTGGTATAGCCTGGCAGGACACAGAGGTGCTGCAGACAGCAGAGGTTTGAAGCCAAGTGTTCAAATCCAGTGGCACATGTAGTGAGATGGAGCTGAGGCTGCTCTGCCACCCAGTGCTCCTAATGAAGGCTTCGATCTGGAGGTCCTGGAATCAGACAGAACCAGATTCACAGTCTCGCTGCCCTGATGAACCCTGAGCCTCTCCCAGACCTTGGAGTTCTGGGGCCCCTGAGCAGGAAAGACTGTTCTCAACAACCTGGGCCCCAGCAGCCTAGGTCTGACTCTCTGACCCCACAAAAGTATGTGGAAAGCTTGCAGCTGTGCTGGGAGGGCACAGGGCACTGTTAACAGGTGCCCCTTGGGTAGGCTTTTCAGTGAATGGAAGCTAAAGATTTGGTCCTTTTTCTATTCAAAATGTTATTTTCCCAGCAGTCCAGCGGGCTCTGTCTGCTCCTCCTGGCAAAGAGAAGGGCAGAATAAGCAGCAGAGGTGGGAAACTGTGTCCCCAAGATCACAGCTGGCTCTCGGCTTCATTCCATCTGGCTTTAGGCATGTGTGGAGACTACCATTCTCACACAGTAGTCTCAGCTTAACAAAGCCTTTGCGGCACTGCCCTGGGATGCCACAAGAAGGCGCTGCTGCCTCATTGAAGGTGGCCACCTCTGTTTTTTGCTTGGAAAGCTGTGCAGCAGGAAAAGCCATAAATGAAGAGCTGGGTTCACTGTGCATTGTTAAGTGATTCTTATGTGATTTCTCACCCCTGGTGAGGGGTGATGCAGGTGCACAGCAGGGTTCTGGGTCTGGGTGGGTGCTCTGGAAAGAAAGAGGCACGGATGTGGACTGTGGACCTTGGCTTCTTTTCCTCTACCAGCTGCAAAGTTATAAACGATGCATGGAAACCCAGGAGTTACGCTTGACATGGACTCAGGGAGTCTCCCCTCCTTGTCTTCTCTTCAGTAATGAGATGCTTAGGTGTTCCAACCCGTGTTGTTTCCAATTTCCGTTCTGCACACAATGTGGATGGGAACTTGACCATTGACACCTACTATGACGCAAATGCAGAGATGTTGTCAACTCAGAAACGAGACAAAATATGGTAAGGGACACCATGGAGAACAGATCCGGGTCTGTGGCTCACAGAGTGGTACTGTCTTATGCACTGCTGTGAATGCTTGGAGAATAACCACCACCACCTCAGCCCAGGAGATGGTTCTGACTCTAAAGAGATCGGCAGGGCCTGGCACGGTAGTCTAGTGGCTAAAGTCTCACTTTGCATGTGCTGGGATCCCATATGGGCGCTGGTTCTAATCCCAGCAGCCCTGCTTCCCATCCAGCTCCCTGCTTGTGACCTGGGAAAGCAGTCGAGGACGGCCCAAAAACTTGGGACCCTGCATCCACATGGGAAACCTGGAAGAGGCTCCTGGCTCCTGGCTTTGGATGGGCACAGCTCCAGCCGTTGTGGCCACTTAGAGAGTGAATTAACAGATGGAAGATCTTCCTATCTCTCTTCCTCTCTGTGTATCTTACTTCTCAATAAAAAATAATTTTAAAAAGCTGATCAGATGGAACTATATATGCTAACTACCCATTATCCACTCAGTTGCCATCCTGACTATTACATGAACTAACAATATTGGGCACTTGTGTTCAACTAACCTTTATTTTTTTTGAATTAAAAAAATTTTAATTTAACTAAAAATTTTAAACTATCTGTTTTCATTTTTAATTTGCAAGACAGGGTGACAGAGAGAGACAGAGATCTTCCATCTGCTGGTTCACTCCCCAAATATCTGCAACAACCAGGAGCCAGGAATTCCCTCCTGATCTCCTGTGAGAGTGGCAGGGTCCTATGTACCTGAGCCATCATCGCCCTCCTCCCAGGATGCATCCGCAGGAAGCCAGAGCAGAAGTGGATCCATCAGGACTCGAACCCGATGCTCTGACAGGGCATGTGGGCATCCCACTGTGCCAAAGGGCTGCCTGTCTTTTCTAATAGTAGTAAAGCTGGTATCTGGGACACACAGAGAGAAGCCACACAGTGCTCCCTTTAACTGAAAGGGTGAAAGCACAGTAAGATACAGTGTCTTGAAGGACAGATCATGTTCACATAACATCCATTTTAGCATATTGTTATGATTATTTTATTGTGGCTTTTCATCTTCTCCGTAGTAAATTAAATAGTATCTGTGGTTTCTGGCACCCCCTGGGGATCTTATATCCTCTACAAATGGTGGGGGGGGAGCAACTATTATATACCCCCGCATGTCTACTGAAAGACAACAAATGGAGATTAACCAAAAATTAATTGGATCTGTGGGTATTCTGTATATTACTCGTTTGGCTTTAATGCAGGTTTAAAATTACTTCCAAAGACAAAGCAAAATAAGAAACAATTCTCTAAAAGCACTCAGTATGGTGTCTGGTGCTGGGTCAGGCTCAGCATGTAAGGTGTTACTCCTTTACTGTCTCCTGCAGGAATTTCCACGTGTGGAACGAATGCTGGATGATCCGGAAGGATCTCCCACCAGGATACAATGGGTGGCAGGTTCTGGACCCCACTCCCCAGCAAACCAGCAGTGGTGCGTGGCAGCGGGTTCCAGGGCCTGTGGGGAGGCTAAGGACAAAAATCACCTGTAGGAGCAGGAGGGCCTTGACCTTGGGGTCACCTGGATGTATCAGGGGGCTGTCACTTTCTTGCGGGGAGGGACTGTGACACTAACCACTGCCACCCAGAGCATCTGGTGCACGTAACGAACGAATCAGAGTGGGTGAGCTCAGAAGAGCCACTGCCCTCCCATGCCCCCAGCCAGCTGGCCCTGGCCACCTGTCAGTGGCTTTGTTCCACTATGCATGCTGTGCCCACAGGGCTATTCTGCTGCGGCCCAGCCTCTGTAAAGGCCATCAGGGAAGGGGAGGTGCACCTGGCCTACGACACCCCCTTTGTGTATGCCGAGGTGAACGCCGATGAGGTGGTTTGGCTGTGCAGGGCTGGCCAGCCCCAGGAAGTCCTGGCCCACGACAGCTACTCTATCGGGAAGGAGATCAGCACCAAGATGGTTGGCTCAGACCAGCGCCAGGTCATCACGGGATCCTACAAGTATCCAGAAGGTGCGTCTGGCCCTGGGGGTGGCAGAGGGAGGCAAGGGTGGACTCTGTTAGGCTGCCTCCACTCCCCTCAACCCCTCCAGGTGAAAGTCACTGCCACCTCATCACCTGGTGTGGGAGACACGCAGGGTGACTTCTCAGAGCTAGGACCTAGGGCTCTTGGGCAGGCTGTCAGACTTAGCAAATAAAAATAGGGTGCTTGGGTAAAATTTAATTTGAGAGAATTTCAGATAAATAGATTTTTGTATTTATTTGAAAGGCAGAGTTGAGAGAGAGAGGTTCCATCTTCCATCCACTGGTTCACTCTCTAGATGACTGCAACAGTCAGGGCTGGGCTAAGCCAAATCCAGGAGCCAGGAGTTAAGTCTGGGTCTCCCATGTGGGTGCAGGGGCACAAGTACTTGGACCACCCTCCACTGCTTTCCCAGGTACATTATTAGGGAGCTGGACTGGAAGTGGAGCCACCGGGACTTGAACTGATGCCCACATGGGATGCTGGCATCACAGGCAGCAGATTAATCTGTTATGCCACAACACCGGTCTCATAAACAGATATTTTCTTAAAAACAGTATGCTCTATCTGAAACTCAAATGCAACAGGATGCCCTGTCCTTTAGCTGGTGGCTCTCTTCCAGGGTCACAACACAGATTTCCCACATCCCAGCAGTAGAGGTGGCAGCCAAGAGAGAAGGAGTAGGGTTCTGGGTCTATGGAAAGCAGTGGCCATCCCCAGAGAGAGAGAAGAGGCAGGGCCAGGCTGCTTGAGATTGGCCCGTGGCTCTACTGGGTTCTGGCTCTGTGAGCCTAGACATAATCTCCCCATCACTGTGCCTGCTGTGAAATTGGGTAACAGCTCCTCCAAGGGAGGTGTGAATGAGTTCAAACTGTGAACAATAGGGAGGATGTGGTGGGAAGTAAGAAGCCTCTGGCGATTATCACAATCATGATGGTGCCACTTATGACAACTTCCTTTGCCCAACATTTTGGGCAGCTCCATGAGGGATGTCCACAAGAGATTCAGGCAAGGGTTGAAGTCAGCCCTAGGCAGCTTCCATTTCCCCTACCCCTCTGGACCAACGGCTTTCCCATCCCTCTGCCCCACCAGGCTCTCCCGAGGAGCGTGCTGTGTTCATGAAGGCTTCTCGGAAAATGCTGGGACCCAACAGGGCCTCTTCACCCCTCCTAGATCTGTTAGGGTCCCGGGGCTTGGAGTCCCAGCCAGCACAGCTGCAGCTTCTCCTGTCCAGGACACCCGTGTGGGGCCAGGACTTGCTGTTAACGCTGCATGTGCGGAGGGTGCCAAACAGAGCCCACTCTCAGGGTCCCATCGGCCTCATGGTGCGCATCTGTGCACAGACCCTGCTGCACAGGGGTGGCACCTGGGGGCCTCTATGGAGGCAAACAGTGCACTTGAACCTGGACATCGAGCAGGGTGAGTAGGAGATAGGCCTGAGCTGCCACCTGCAGTAAGGGGAGTCCTTGGGGTCCTGAGCAAAGCTGGGCTGGCCCAAGCCAGGTCACACAAATACACAGTTGTGCCTGGAAGGATAGCTACCATTGGAGGATGATTTGAATGTCACCTGCTGTGACTGAAGCCATCTCACTCACCAGGTGAGACAGGGCAGGGAGCTCGGGGGGCATTTTGTACATGTTTCAGAGTAGGCATGCTCTCTCTCCCTCATAGATACACACACACACACACACACACACACACAGATTCACACTTATTGGCTGTTACAAAATAAAAAGAAACAAAGGAATGAAAGAAGGAAGGGAAGGGAAGGGAAGGGAAGGGAAGGGAAGGGAAGGGAAGGGAAGGGAAGGGAAGGGAAGGGAAGGGAAGGGAAGGGAAGGGAAGGGAAGGGAAGGGAAGGGAAGGGAAGGGAAAGCTAGCTTCAAAGAAAAGAAAAAAGAGGAAGCCAGCTTCACCCGTGCCCTTGCCCTCCCCTCACCTGCTCCCATTCCCTGGATCAGGATGATTTCTGTCTATGCTTAGAGGTCTGGTGGCCGCTCCTGCTGCCCTACAGCAGTTACAGGAACAAACTGACTGATGAAAAGCTCATCCGCGTGGCTGGCATTGCTGAGGTTGAAGAGACGGGGAGGTCCATGCTGGTGCTAAAAGATATCTCTCTGGAACCTCCCCACCTGTCTATTGAGGTAAGGTGTCAGATGGAGGCAAGGATGGGGACAGGTGTCTTGGACCCAACTACCTTAGGGCTATGGGTGCAGCAGCCACAGTATCCCTGCCTCAGGCGTCAGTCCGATGACGAAAGCACAGCATTTGGACTGTTCTGTGCTCTGTGCAAGGAGCAGGGTGGGGCCTGAAGGCTTCTCAGAGGTGGTGATATTCAGCAGAGGATGCACAGGGAGGCATTTTCATGAATGGACTAGCTCTGCCAAGGCAAAGGGACTAGGAACGCAGTGTGAGACAGAGGAAGTAGAAGAGAAGTTTGAGAGACCACCAGGTCAAATTCAAAAGGTGACAGTTAATAAACCAGAGGTGGTAAGGAGAGGAAATGTGAAAAGTGAGAATTCGAGTTCAGATGCCCAAGTGGCTGGTGAGGCCGTACACAAGGAAGGAGTTGCAGGGGAAGGGAGGTAAGTGGAAGAGACAAGTGTTTAGCCTATTTCCCATTACTGGGAGTTGCCTTCCCTGAAGCCTCACCTCCCTCTGCCTCCTCTGATTCTCAAACATTTGTCCACTGCCAAGACCACTGCACCTAGGGGTACCATCAGCAGCACACCCCATCCATCCCCTCACCTCACCACATATATTTCACCGGAATGAGAGTCAGCAGTTCCAGATCAGAAACCAGCAAGCTCACCCTGGCTTCTAATAGGACCAGCTGGGCAGCCGCCACAGTAGAGTCACAGCAGAATGGCAAGAGCTCACACAGCCCAGGGCTGAGCCAGGACAAAAAGCAAAGCTCTGGCTGCAACAGAGCAGGTGGCCATGAGTCTGTTCCTTGGATGTATTTTAATGACTTTTCCCTTGACACCCTCATGGGGAAGTTTCCTTCTACCACACCTGTGTCAGGTGCTATTCACCACTGAATCAGTCCTCAGATCCTATTTAACACAGCGTTCCTCTTAGCCAGCTCCCTGGATGGAGCTGACACTGCAGTTAAAATGTTGGTGTACGAGGTGCTGATCTCAAAGATCGAGCTCATATTTCTTTTTACCACCTGTATGTTAGCTCTATACAGAGGGCTCTGGTGGCTACCAAGAGGATGGGAGGGTTACTAATCAGTTGGTGGGAGCTGTTTCTATCAAACTTGTCTTCTCCCCTCATAGGCATCTGAACGGGCCGAGGTGGGCAAGATGCTGAGGGTCCACATCACCCTCACCAACACCCTCACGGTCGCTCTGAGTAATTGCATGATGGTGCTGGAGGGCAGTGGCCTCCTTAATGGGCAACTATCTGAGGAGTAAGTGACACCTCCTGTGCACCTGTTCTGTGCTGAGGCTTCCCCGGTCATCTAGACAGCACCTCCTGGCCCTCACTTTCCCACCCTCCCAGGGGGAGGCCGATGCTGGGGAGGGGAAAAGGGGAATCCAGTGTCTCACCCAAGCAGTGACTCAGAGTGCTAATAGACTCTATTTCATTCACAGACTTGGGACACTGGCAGCAGGACACACTGTCCAGATTCAGCTGGACCTGTATCCCATCAAGGCAGGACCCCGCCAGCTGCAAGTCCTCATCAGCAGCGATGAAGTCAAGGAGATCAAGGGCTACAAGGACATTTTGGTCACTGCAGCAAGTCCCATTTCTTTATCTTAAGTCCCTAAGCCTTCTTGGTGTACACCTTGCCAAGGGATGGTGACGGCGTCCCTATTCATCACAGCTCTTCTTATTACACCAACAAGCTCTTCTGTGCTCCCAGCTACTACCCTGGGTCTTGGTGCCAGTGGCACGGCTGGATCCTCCCTGTCCCTTCTGCCCTTCTCCCTCAACCATAAAGTAAGCCTAGCATGACACCTTTTTCAGCAGTGCCTTTGGAGTTAAGTGTCCCATGTCCCCTCATTGCAGGGATCCTAGCGGGCAGAGAGCTGCCTGGACATGCTGCAAGGGCAGACTACAGTGCCCTCTGGGCCACTGCCTGAAATGACCTATCCAGCCTTCTCTGTTATTGACCTCCAACTGTCCCCAGCTGGTGAGGGCAGACCCCGGCACACACATGCAGTCACTCAACAAACACTGGCTGTGGGCACTCATGGGCAGGCCCCCAGGATACTAGGAAACATGACTATCACCCTCCAACAGTAAACCCTGGCCTCTGCCTGCTGCAACCTGCCACTCTCCCCTCACTTCATCCTCCATTCTCCCCTGATGACCCCCAAACTCTCAGCCTCTCCTCCTTGGTGTCCCCTGTTTATGTTACTTTAGGGACAGAAGGAACCACTGTTTCCTTTGCCCCCAGCCAGTGGTTATCAAAATCATTCATGCTCATTCAATTTGAAAAGAGAGAGCCAAGTGAAAAGAAACCAGGGGAAAATCATCAGTAGCACCCCTCTTCCAGAGGGAATCCCTGCCAAGAATTTGCAAGGTGTCATTCTCCCTGTCATTGTTCATGACTAGTTGAAGTCATCATTGCAGGAACAGGTACTTGGTGCCATGGTTGAGACACCTCTTGAGACAACTGCAGCCCACATGGGAGAGCCTGGGTTCCAGCTGCTGCTCTGCTCCAGGTTCCAGCTTTCTGCTGTCATGCACCGCTCAAGCAGCCAGGTTCTTGCCATTCATGCAGGAGACCCAGCTTGAGTTTTATGCTCCTGCCTTTGGTTTGGCTCAGATGTTGTGGGAATTTGCAGGAGTGAACTGGCCAATGACAGATCTCTGTCACTCTGCCTTTCAAATAAAAAAAAATTGAAAATAAACTCATTTTTTAAAATAGTCAAAGTTATCATTATAGATCAATGCATCCTGGTCATGGATAACAAGAAGTCCAGAGACACAGAAAAGGGCAGAATTTTCCTGTAGGTTTCCAGACACTGGCTTTGGTCCTTGTCCATTCCTCACCTGCTCTGGGGTTCTGCAGCTTTCTTTGGTTTCTCTTGTCTTCCTCCACCTCCCCATCCTCCTGTTCCTCCTGGTTCTTTTTTTGTTTGTGTTATTGTTTTAATGTGTCTGCTTGCTCCAGTCCTCCCCTCCTTCTATTTCCCAGGGGTCTTGCCTTCTCTTGGCTGCCAGAGCCCACTCCCTAGCTGCACCTGTTCCCTTCACTTTTAAAAAAAGATTTATTTATTTTAATTGGAAAGTCAGATATACAGGGAGAGGAGAAGAGATAGAAAGAAATATCTTCCATCAGATGATTCACTCCCCAGAAGCCAGGGGCTCTTCCAGGTTTCCCACGTGGGTGCAGGGTCCCAAGGCTTTGGGCTGTCCTCAACTGCTTTCCCAGGCCGTAAGCAGGGAGCTGGATGAGAAGCGGGACTGCTGGGATTAGAACCAGCGCCTATATGGGATTCTGGCATGTTCAAGGTGAGGACTTTAGCCACTAGGCCACGGTGCTGGGCCCCACCTGCTCCTTTTAAATGCAGCTGTCGCTGTCCTGGCTCCTGTACTCAAGAGAGAGTTACTTGTGCTGGCCCCTGCAGATGCATGGCAGATGCTTGTGTGCAAAGTGCGAGGTCCTTCTCTGGTCCCTGTCTTATTCTGTCCCTGGTTGTGTGGCTGGAGGGGACAGTGGGCAGATTTCCCAGTGGGCCTCTGAAGGGGCTGGAGTGGATGAATAGTGCCACCTCAGCCTTCTCCATAAATCTTTCCAATGATCTTCCTGTCCTCCTCAAAAGTGGCTTCCTTCTGTTTCTATTTTACACTTTTAGCCACACCTGTCATGCTTTGTTTCCCCACCTCAGATGGATGAGCCAGACTATCCCCAAGCTGTCTTCTACTTGACCTCTCCCAGGGCCTGAAATGCTGGGGCTCAAGCCTATCTTCTTCACACCTCTGAAGTTAGAGCCTGAGCCACTCTCCCCTGCCTTTCAACCACTCAGTGGGGCTGACAACTCTGGGGCCAGGTGGTGGCCCTCAGGAACAAACTGGGACATTGGGTTCAGGCTGTGAAGCAAAGAGGTAACATCAACCTGGCTATGCCCACGGCTTCTGACTCAGTGGCTGCCAGTGCTCATGGTTTGGGAGTTGGTAGTTGGTTTTTGAATTTTTTTAAAAGATCTGTTTATTTCTTTGAAAGGCAGAGTTAGAGAGAGAAAGAGGAAGAGGGAGAAACAGAAAACAAGACCTTCCATCCTCTGTTTCACTTCCTAAATGGCTACAACAGCCATGGCTGGGCAGACAGGATTGTGCCTGCCAGCCATGCTTACCACCCCCAACATCCCTTTGCCTGCATGCCCAGGATCCAGACATTCTGAGCAGAACTCCCCTCCACACACACATTACACACCCTCTGACTCAGGCTTCACAGGAACCTATAAATCACCTCATTAGGCCCAGGGCCCAGGACTTCTTCAGCTCCCAGGGGCTGGCCCAAGCAGCTGGCATGGGTTTTCTTGGCCCTGTGTATGGGCCATGTGCCCTAGTGGCACTTCCACTTTCCGGGGCTGATTCTGACCATGGGAGGACCTCGGGCGGAGATCCAGACCCTCCAAGGAGGAGGCAGAGTCCCTGTCCTCTGCCTGAAGTGGAGAGGGAACAGTTTGGGGAATGGGTGGAGCTGCCCAGGGTTCTGTCTACTCAGGCTGATGCAATGCAAGGCCCTTTATCATAGTGACTGCCCAATCGCACCCAAAGTCTTTCCCTAGCTGCTCTGGGCTGACCCCAGGACACCATGAAGTAGCAGTGGCCCGCTGGCCAGTGGGCACATTGCCTTTTGACCTCCAAACCTATCCTGGCTGCAGTCACCTTTGTGTGTGTTTCCCCCAGCTAAGCTCTTTTGCCCATGTTCCTTCCTCATCTTCAGATAACTGAATCTTATGTGTGGAAGGAGGTTCAGGCGTTGGTCCATTGGCATGTTTCACCATTTAAAATTACTTTATTTTATTTGAGACAGATGTTATTTATCTGCTGGCTCACTCCCCAAATGCCTACAATAGCCAAGGTTGGCCAGGTCAGGGCCAGGAGTCTGGAATTCAGTCCTGGTCTCTCATGTGGAGACCAACTACTTGAACCTTCACTGGTTGCTTCCTATCGTGTGCATTGGTAGGAAGCTTGAACTGTAAATGGAGCTGGGACTCAAACCTTGGTACTTTGATATGGAATGCAAGTGTCACCGAAGGATGCCTTAACCATTATGTCAAATTACCAGCCCACAGATAATCTTTAAAGTGTGTATGTGTGAGTATGTGTGTGAGAAAGATAAAGAGACAGTGAGAGAGAGAAAGATTTTTCTACCAAGTGATTCAATTCCCAAATGGCCACAATGGCCAAGTCTGGGTCATGCTGAAGCCAATATCCTGGACGTCCATCTGGGACTCCCACATGGACTGCAGGTGGCCAAGTACCTGGTCTTCTTAGGCCCATCAGTAGGGAGCTGGAACAAAAGCAAAAGAGCCAGGACTCCGACAGGCGCTCTAACATGAAATGCTGGCATCCTAAACAGTAGCCCAGCCTGCTGTACCACCCTTCACCCCAAGGAATAAATGTACTCCTTCAATTTATTCACTCTATCAGGCAACAAACAGGAAGTGGAAATCCAATAGTTTCATATGTTGCATTAAGTACTTCTGGAGAACCTAGTCTCTAGTATCTGACTGCCTACCCATGAAATCTGGCACCACTGGTTTTTTTTGTCAGTGAGCTTGGGAAAATGAGTCACTGTCATTAAGCCTTGACTCCCTTGTCCATGTTAGGAGCAATAACACTGCCTAACTCCCAGGGATGTTGTCAGATTAGGTTAGATAATGTGCATTAGGAACTTAGTATCTGCTACTATTACCAGATCTCTTAGTGGGTCTACAACTAATAGCCACTCTTACTATTAAGTATGAATGGCAATATTAATTAATAAGAAACAAACTGGGGCTGGTGCTGTGGCTCAGCAGGATAATCCTCCACCCTGTCGTGCCAGGATCCCATATGGGATACCAGTTTGTGTCCTGGCTGCTTCACTTTTGATTCAGCTCTATGCTTATGGTCTGGAAAAGCAGCAGAAGATGGTCCCTGCACTATGTGGGAGACCTGGAAGAAACTCCTGGCTCCTGGTTTTGGATCAGCTCAGCTCTAGGAATTGTGGCTATGTGGGAGTGAATTAGAGGATGAAAGACCTTCTCTTTCTATCTCTCCTTCTCTCTGCAAATCTACCTTTCAAATAAAAATTAGTAGATCTTTTTTTTTAAAGGTACAATCTATGTCCTCAGGAGACCAGGGACCATCTGAAGCAGGAGTTGGCTTAACAGGGAGTGTGGATGAAGAAATTCCGAAACTCCTGCAGTGGCAGAGGGACAGGGTCAGGTAGATTTCCCAGATGGGTAATGCTGAGGTCTGAGCCGCCAAGTGCTAAGATACTAACTCGGGGAGAACCAAAATGAGCAAGAGTGCACAGAGGCACACAGAAGAGAAGGCTCCATAAGGGAGCTGAGGGTTTGGAGAAAAGAGACCACGAAGGCTACCAAGGAGTTTGGGGCCACAGTTGGGTCTTCAACAAGAAAGTAACTTGGTCAAACTGGCACTGCAACAAAATCAATTGTGACCCCATTAGGGGAAAGTAAGTGTGAAAAACTTGATAGAAGCTGTTGAACAAGCAAGTGAGGACTTTAAGAAAGGCAGGGCCGAGGGGACAGAGGAGAGTCGTCAGCTCTAACAGGAGCAAAATGGGAGCTAGACTGGATTGAGAGCTGAAGGAAGAGAGGGAGCTGGAGCCAGCACCCCAGACTCTCCTGGAGTGATGGCATGAGCAGTGACCTCAGCCACCAAGGCCAGAAGTGCAGCAAGAAAGACAGAGAGGGGAGAGCAGATACATCTGGTCACGTTGTGTGTGAAGAATCTGTGGTTCGCAGTGGAGTGGTCCAGCAGGTGGTGCCTGCAACTCACAGTTCTACAAATTATCAGTGTCATAGGGAATGAGTGGATGGACAAACCCTGGGAAACATCAGCAGGTAGCAGAAAGAGCCCATGAAAGGGACTGAAAGAAGAGAGCAGAGTGGCCAGAGAGATGCAATGGAGAGAGAGAGAGAGAAAGGTCACTTAGCCCAAAGTGAGTGGTCAGCAGCCAGGGCTGTGGGGGATCCTGTGATATTAAGAGGAGGAAAAGGTCCCCAGGGCCTCAGGACATAAGGGGCAGGAGAATTAGGGGAGCTATGCAGATGGAGGATGGGGAGGCACAGAAGCAGACAGGGGCCTCAGCTAAGAGGTGGAGAGAAAGAGCAGGAGCTTGGGTTGAGGCTAGTGTGGGGATAGAGATATGACAGCAGTGACTTGTGTGCATTTGTGTCTGGTGTTCACAATTAAGAGCTGAATGGGAACAAGAAGAGGTAAAGCAGAGGAAGAGGGCAGGCTTTTGGTGCAATGGTTAATATGCCACCACTATGGGAATGCCTGGTGGGAGTCCTAGCTCTGCTCCCATTCCAGCTTCCTGCTAATATGCATGTTAGGAAGCACAGGTGATAGCTCAAGTGCTTGGGTTCCACATCACCTGCATGGGAAACTGTGATGGAGTACCAAGCTCCTGGCTTCAGCCTGCCCCGGTCCCCACTTATGCAGGAATTTGGGAAAGGACCAGTGAATGAAAGATTGATCTCTCTCTTTTTTCCTTCAGATAAAATGGAAATAAATTTTTAAAATACAGGATGGAGTTCCCAAGAGCACCCAAAGAGCAAGGAATAAATTGTTCCACAGCAAGGAAAGCAGGGTGGGAGTAGGGGCATCCTATCCTCACATTATATGGGGCCTGCCTCCCTCTTCCTTTATCTAGTTTTCTCCAAATGAAAGGATTTGTACTTTTCTTATTAGGATCAGGGACCTTGCTGATGGGTATTCACACTCTGTCACCCAATTTCAGGCTCCTTCCATGAATCATCTTCCACTGTTTGAACTTGATATCACCCTTGGATATAGCAGGTTTCAAGCAAGATAATGTCACTGCCATAAGAAACAAACATGATGATGATGGGCCTGGCACAGTAGCCTAGGGGCTAAAGTCCTGGCCTTGCACATGCCAGGATCTCATATGGGTGCTAGTTCTGACCCTGGCTGCCCCACTTCTCTCCTCCAGCTCCCTGCTTGTGGCTTGGGAAAGCAGTCGAGGACGGCCCAAAGCCTTGGAACCCTGTACCCATGTGGGAGACCCAGAAGAGACTCCCGGATCCTGCCTTTGGATTGGCGCAGCTCCAGCCATGGTGGCTGCTTGGGGAGTGAATCAACGGACAGATCTTCCTCTCTGTCTCTTCTCTGTATATCTGACTTTCAAATTAAAAAAAGAAAAAAAAAAGAAAGAAAGAAAGAGAGAGAGAAAGAGAGAAAGGGAGGGAGGGAGGAAAGATCACACCAATGGGCCCATTACGATGGCTCAATTGGCTAATCCTCCCTTTGCAAGTGCCAGGATCCCGTATGGGTGCCGGTTCAAATTGCTAAATTCCCAATTCAGCTCCCTTGTCATGGCCCAGGAAAGCAGTAGAGATGGCCCAAAGCCTTGGGACCCTGTACCCACAAGGGAAATCAAGAAGAAGCTCCTGGCTCCTGACTTAAGATTGGCTCACATTAACCATTATACCACTTCTAGAGAATGGAAGATCTTTCTGTGTCTCCTTTTCTCTGTAAATCTGCCTTTCCAATAAAAATAAATAAATCTTTTTTAAAAAAAATCACACCAATGATGATACAGAGTGGGCTCTCTGTATTTACTGTCCAGAAAGTCACTCTTCAGGGTGAAATAGAGGACTCAGGAGCACAGTAGGGGTTAAGGCTCACTGAGTTGCTCTTAGATGCAAGCAGTGGCCTTGGGACCCAGACCCTCTTTACTGCCTGAACACAGCTCCCTTCCATCCCATGGAGATGCTGTCAGCTCACCTCTCAGTCCACAATACAACACCTACAAGGGAATCCTTATTGCCCAAGAGCTATCAAAGTCCCACATGGCACAAGGTCCTGATACGTCCTCAGTCTCCAAACCTCCTCGTGGTTGAGCCACATTGCCAAGAAACACCCGAGGGCAAGTGAGAAAACCAGTTGTGACCTGCCTGGTGAGCAGGTGGCAGTGCATCAGCTGGGCCCCGCCCTCCTTGTCTCCTGAAATCTCCGGGATGGAAAGGGAAGCAGACACTCTGGGACCAGTTTTCTGAAGCTCATCCAGCTGTTCTGTGGGGAGCATCCCAGGAACCGGAGGCAGCTGTCATGGCCCAAGGTAGGGAAGGTCCTTGGGGCTGCTGACTACAGGACTTTAGAGAGAGTCTGCAGGAAGTCCGGGGAAGGAAAGTAGATTCAGAGGAAGCAAGCAGCACACTCAGAACCAAGGCAGCAAGAGTAGATACCACAGAAGCCTTTGCATTCATTGGTGGCCTGAGAAGCAAGGGACAGGGTGGAGGCTGGCAGGTGAGCCCAAACAGCTGCATGCCAATGCCTGCTGCCAGCACCAGACGAGACAGGGAAGGGCCAGCAAATAGGGGGCCAGAGGACCTGTCATCTTCTTTTGACAATGGTTAAAGTCTCTCTCTCTCTCTCTTTTTTTTTTTTAAAGATCAATTTATATGAATGGCATAGTTACAGACAGGAAGGAAGAGACACACAGAGAGATCTTTCATCCACTGGCTCACTCCCCAAATGACTCCAACAGCCAGAGTTGTGCCTGTCTGAAGCCAGGGGCCAGGAGCTAAACCAACCTCCAACACGGGTGCAGGGGTCCAAGCACTTGGGCTATCCTCTGCTACTTTCCCAGACACATTAGCAGGGAGCTGGATCAGAAGTAGTCAGGACTCAAATCAATGCCCCTTTGGGATGCTGGCACTGCAGGTGGAGGCTTTAACTGCTCTACTACAGTGCCAGCCCTGAAAGCCACTTCTCTAATTTTCTCTTCCTGTGCCTTAAAAAATGGAAGGGGTTGGGCAAAATGTCTTGAAGTTGGCTTCCAGCTCTGATGTTCCCTGGATCTTCACATCTCCTCTCCTGTCATTTCAGAGGCTCTGCTCTTCCTCTTAGCTACTCTTCCTACCACCATTCTTCTCTCTATAGCACCTCCCTTTCTCTAGAAAGACCTGCTATGAAAGTTAAATGCTTAGTGGAAACCATTGGCAGGAATGAGCTTTTAACTTGCTGTGCAAATAGAAGAAACTCATTTTCATATGTTACTTTTGGTGTTTAAACTTTTAAATTTTGAATAACTTCTACTTGAGAGGAAAAATGAACACATAGTTGGAGTAAATATAGTCAATAATTACGAAGAAAGCCATGGTCCTATGAGCACCACTCTCAATTCAAGCTTCTCTTCTCACAAGTGACTGTTACTTCTAGCCTTTTTCTACACATGTGCATTTATGAGCTAGGTAGATAAATGCACAGATAGTTATGAATATGGGTATTATACACAATACATATAATTTGCAGTTTGCCTCTTTTTATAACAATATGGTATCATCACATTGTTCTTACTTTTCTGAAACTTGATGTTTTTTCATTCAACAGCATGTCTTGAAGCTCTGTCCATGCCAGTCTGAATCTGGATGAGCTTCAATATTTTCCATATAGTTTGAGTGTAAGCAGCTTATTTATCCTATTTCCTATTGATGAACATTTACATTATTTTAATGTGCCTATGCTTCTCTCAGCTCATGTAGGAGTTTCTCTATCATAGACCCTGAGAGGATTTACTTTCAAAGTTTTCGCTACAGGCTGTCTTTATTCCCTCTCATTACTTTGTGTCAATCTCCCTGTACCTTAAGTAGAACAACTATACCTAACAAAATCAGCTTCTCTTCTCAATGTGGGTGTCCAGGCTGAAGAATAATCTCCACATCATGGGCCAAGATGAATCTGACCCACAGTGTGTCCAGAGGATGAGATTTGGCTATAGTGCTGGCTGCCAGGCAGATGCTGGCCACACCTGCTGGGCAGTTGAGTCTTGTGCTCAGACTGGACAGGGGCCAGTGGCTGCTCTTTGGCTTAGTCTAGTGGTCTCCAACAAGGAATGAGCCTCTTTTTCCACTACCATGAAAATGCCAAGTGCTTTCCCAGCTGGCAGTGGGTCAAGATGATCTTTTTGAATGTGAATGAAAGCTGGCAATGGGTGGCAGCTCTTGAGTAATGGAAAGAGCATTGAACTTGGGTCATGCATTCTGGCTTTAATTTCAATTTTCTCATCTCCAAGTGTGGGTAATATGACACTCCATCCCTCCAAGATTATGTTAAGGATGAAATAAGACAATTGTCCTAGAATGTCTAGCACAGGGCCTGACCTGCGGTATAGAGGCTGTCTACAGAGTGCTGACTGAACCTGAAATCTGGAATAATTAGACACAGAGTAATTTTGAAACCTAGTAGACATTTCTGAATAACTACAATGTGCTGATCATCACATTTGTATTTCTTGTGTAACAGTAATATATTAATTTATGACAAAGATGTATCATACTAAGAACTATGGTAAGTATTTGGTCTATCAGTTAAGATGCCTGTAGCTCATATATTATTGCCTAGGTTCAAATCCTGGCTCCAGTTCTAATTCCAGCTTCCTATTAACAGAAGCACCTTGTGATTCTCAAGTCCTTGGGTCCCTGCCATTATGTGGGAGATTCAGATTGAGTTCTAGCTTCCCGGCATGGGCCTGGCTCAAGCCTGGCTGTTGTGGGCATTTGGAAAGTGGACCAGTGAATAGAAGATCTCTGTCTGTCTCTACTTCTTTGCATTTTAAATAAATAAGTTTGTAAGAATAATACAACAAAAAGAAATTAAAGATATTTGAATGATAAGGTTTAACAGTCATTATATACTTTGGTTTAGTTGATTTGGTTCGTATAGTAACAGCTTTACTGGATGTGATTCATACCAATGAAGTTTGATTCAAGTGAACAGTTTGTGGCTTTTCTGTATGTACCACCACCAACTGGTCACAGATACCTTCATCCATCTCAAAAAGAAATCTTATTTCCATTATCAGTCACATCCTATTCCACATTTCCTAGCCCCTGGCACATGGTACTCTACTTCCTGTCTGTAAAGTTACCTGTTCTGGACAATTCCAGTAAGTGGAGTTTCACCAGATGTACCCTATAAGACCTGACTTATTTCACTTAGCATGATGTTTTCAAGACTCAACCATGTTATAGCCTCTTCAATGTTTCTTGCTGTGACTGAACAACCATGTTTTGTTTATCCATTCATCAGTTGTTGGACTCTGGGTGTTTCCATTTTCAGCTTCTATAATTGTTACTGCTATTAACATACATATATAGGTACGTGGATTAGTTTTCATTTCCCTTGGGTATATACCTAGGGATGGAATCACTGGGCCTTACTGTAACCATATGTTTAATATTTTAAGGAGCTGCCTGGCAGTTTTCTCAAGTGCTGCACCACTTTATCCCATTAGCAATGTATGAGGATTGCAATTTCTTTACATTCTCACCAACACTTGTTATTACCTGTCGTTCTTATTCAAGCTATCCTAGTGAATGTGAAATAGTATCTTACTTGCTTCCACTCTAATAACTAGTGGTTTTATTGGCTTTTTGTTATTCTTTAGGAAAATGTCTATTCAGATAAAGTTCCAATTAAAAAAAAAAAGATTTATCTACTTTTTATTTATTTGAAAGGCAGAGTGACAAAGAAAGAGATATTCTAACCCTAGTTAATTCCCCCAAATGGCTACAATGGTTGTGGCTGGGCCAGGTCAAAGCCAGAAGCCTGGAATTTCATCTGGGATGGCAGGAATCCAAGCACTTGTGCGATTTTCTGTTGCTTTCCCAGGTGTGTTAACAGGGGGCTGGACTGGAGGCGGAATGGCTGGCATTCACACTGGCACTGTGATATGGGATGCTGCTGCATCACAACATCAACCCCCATATTGCCAATATTTTAAATTTCAGCTTTTTGGTCTTTTCATTGTAGAATTAATTGTACAGGTTTATTTTACATTCTGGGTATAAATACCTTGCTAGATAAATGATTTATACATATGTTCTCACCTGTGGGCTGTCTTCTCACTTTCTGATGCTGACACAGAGAAACAGAAAGAGCTCTCCCATTCACAGGTTCACTTCCCATTCACAGGTTCAGCCAATCTGAAACCAGAAGCCAAGAATTCTATCTGTGTCTTCCTATTTGGGCCACCATCTACTACCTTCACAGATGCATTCGTGGGGAGCTTGATCATAAGCAAAGCAATTGAGATTTGAACCAGTGCTCCAATATGGGATGCCTGCACCTTGGGCAGAAGCTTAACACACTGTGCCACAATACCAGCCCCAACTCCCACCATCCATCCCCTAACAGAGATATTTTAATCAAGGCAGCAAAGGGTCTTGGTGACAAAGGAATGCATACAGACTGAGCCAACTGTGATTTAAAGGCTGTGAGCCCACCAAATGACTGGGCTCGTGGTCAAAAGCAGAGAAGTCAGGAATGGAATCAGTCTGGCCAAACGGCACCTGAGGTCAGTCTGCTTAACAAAAGACTCCTGCAGAAGGCTAGGAGTAGCAGCTACTTTGACAACCCGATTCAAGTTCCCAAAGTATTTAGCACTACTGGTGATCAGAGAGTCACGAAATTGCTGAAAGAAGAGATGTTAATCAAAAGTCAGTTAACCCTGGGCCCAGCACGGTGGCCTAGTGGCTAAAGTCCTTGCCTTGCATGTGCCAGGCTCCCATATGGGTGCCGATTCTAATCCTGGCGGCCTTGCTTCCCATCCAGCTCCTTGCTTGTGGTCTGGGAAAGCAGTCGAGGACGGCCCAAAGCCTTGGGACCCTGCACCCACATGGGAGACCTGGAAGAGGCTCTGGGCTCCTGGCTTCGAATGGGCACAGCTCCAGCCATTGTGGCCACTTGGGGAGTGAGTCAGCAGATGGAAAATCTTTCTCTCCGTCTCTTCTCCTTTAGATATATCTGACTTTCTAATAAAATAAAATAATAAATAAATAAATCTTAAAAAAAAAAGTCAGTTAACCCAGGGTCTTGCTCCTAGTTCAGTGGCTGGCACCTTGGTAATGAGATGTTAAGTCTAAAAAAGCAGGTATCAGAGGCCAGCACTGGCACAGTAGGCCAAGCCACCACATGCTATGTCAGCATCTCATATCTGGGTGCTGGTTTGAATGCCTGCTTCACCGCTAATGTGCTTGGGAGAGTAGTGGAAGATGACCCAAGTGCTTGAGCTCCTGCCACCTACGTGAGAGACCTAGGTGGAGTTGTTAGTTCCTGACTTCAGCCTGGTCCAGCTGCAATCAGTTGGAGCATTTAGGGCATGAACCAGACGATGGAAGATCTCTCTTGGTGTCTATGTCACTCTGCCTTTCAAATAAACACGATTTTTTTCTCTAGAAAATATGGATACTAGGTGAAACTGATGATGGACTGAAAGGAGCAATCCATCTTAGCCAGGTCTGCAAGAGTAGCACCAGGGTGGCTGGGCAGGGGTAGAGAGTCACTCCCCTCCAGAAGGGCATACAGGAGGAGGTGGAGAGCCAGGGAAGTAGGAAGGCAGGGGGAAGAGAAACTTGCATGCACCGTTTACATTAATCTTTGTGCTAATGGTACCACACACGTATTATGGTTTCTATTTTCCCAACATGGAACCTGAGGCTTAGACAGACTCGGCCAGTGCTGCAAGTTGGCACAGCGGGTAAGTGGGGGACAGAGCTAGAGCAAGCCCTCAGCTCTGTTCTCTGGTCTGCACATGACCACCCATCACAGGGCTAGAGCTGGCCCTCACCGACTTCCAGAGCTCCCGCAACAACGTGCGGCACCACACGGAGGAGATCGCCGTGGACCGCCTCCTCGTGCGCCGGGGCCAGGCCTTTGTCATCACGCTATACTTCAGGAACCGCGGCTTCCAGCCGGGCCTGGACAACATCATCTTTGTGGCTGAGACGGGTGAGGGCCCTGCTGGCTCCTACGGGGAGATTCCTCCGCGGGTTGCGAGGTCGCTACCGATAGAAGCACAGATCTCTTTCCCTCCCAGGACCTCTGCCAGATGTGGCCAAAGGAACTCGGGCCGTGTTCAGCCTGGCAGGTCGCGGTGGGCCCAGCCCCTGGATCGCGGCGCTGGAGAACAATCGGGCCACGTCCCTGGAGGTGAGCCTGTGTGCGCCCCCAGTGGCTGCTGTGGGACGCTATCTGCTGAAGGTTCACATCGACCCCGTCCAGGGCTCTGCCACAGCCTACCAGCTCGGGGAGTTCATCCTGCTGTTCAATCCCTGGTGCCCAGGTAAGGCCGGGTGCCGGCACTGGGGGTCCCTGGTCTTTGCCTCTAACAGTGCTGCTACAGTCTACTAGGCTCACATACAAATTCTGGCTCCCCACAAACCTCTCCAACTCCTCAGGTAACGAGACCTTGCTATTTGCCTTCTTGTTAGAATGTCAGAATTTTGAACTAAATCGTCTTAACTGAGCACTGTTAGCACTGTTATTTTTATTCTCAGAATTGCACTGTATTGAACATATATGGAGTGAAATAAAAGGTCAATTCTCACTTTCTCAAAAGAAAAAAGACAGAGAAAAGTGAAGTCTCCCAGTCCACAAATTCTGTTCTCCAGTGGCAACCTTGCCAACATTTCTTTGCATAGAAGGTTTTTATGCTTAATCAACTATGTATGCTTGTGTGTTTGTGTGTGTGAGTCTATATCACATAGCACTAGTGTGATCATAGAATACACACCATTCTCTAATTATGAAAAACTCAACGTTGGACATCTTTTCCCATCAGTTTTCTTTTTAAGACGACTTCTTTGTTTATCTGAAAGACAGAGTGACAGAGAGAGCCAAAGGTCATCCATCTGTCAGCTCATTCCCCAGATGGCCACAATGGGGAGAGTGGGGCTGGGACAGGCCAAAGCCAGGAGCCTGGAACTCCATCCTGATATACCCCATGGGTTTTCTGTGCCTTTTACCACTACTTTTCCAGGTACATTAGCAGGCAAGCTTGATAAGAAGCAGCTCAACCAGGACTTGAACTGGTACTCCGCTATGAGAAGCCTGCACTGCTGGCAGAGACTTAACCTACTGTGCCACAATGCAGGTCCCAGAACGTTATTAACAACTATTATTATTCCACTGTTGAGATCAACCAAATGTTTAGCTAGACCTCTATTTAGGGACCTTTGTCTATTTCAAATTTTTCTCTTGTACAAAACCTTGGTGAATATTCTGCTTTTCTATCTACAAAGCCCAAGGTAGTGCACAGACATATATAAAGACCATGTGAGCAGTGTGAGGCACAAACCAAGAGGAGAGAGTGAAAAGGGGGCAGAAAGTTGGAGTCCAGAATGGTCCTGGTGTGTGCTGGGGCAGAGGCCAGACTCAACCTGTCCCTGGAGGCTGAAAATTCTCACCAGCTAGATCAGGAGGCCCGCCTGCTGAACCAGGGAAGCACAGCTCCATCTCCTCCCCCTCCCCTGTGCCTCTCTGCCTCTCTCTCTTTCTCTCTCTCTCTCTCTCTCTCTCTCTCTCTCTCTCTCTCTCTCTCTCACACACACACACACACACACACACACACTCCAAGACTGTGGGTTTCAAACTTGCACTGGGACTCTTGTGGGTACTTCTTTCTTGAGCTTATGTCCCTCTTCAGTCCTAGGAGACCCTCACAGGAATGAATGGGAGGTATTGAAGTCAGGATCCACAGCTGCCCCACCACTGTGGCTAGGATTCTGGCTGGAAAGTTCCATCCTGCATCTTAGTCACTGTTGACATTGGCTGTGAGGAGGGACCTGAGTTGTCTCTTCCATGAATCTGCACATCTCTGCCACACAGATCCAAGTTCCCAGTGAGATATATATCAGCAAGGAGTCCTCCCACTCCAGTGTCCTGTCAGGCTGTGTCTGAGACTGCATCTGATGAGGGTGGCAGCCCCTTCACCTTTGGCTCAGGCAGGACTTCCAGACAATTTCACTGCAAAGAGGTCACCTGCTCCCACCATCTTCAGTTTGTTCTTAACTTTAAAAAGACAGTCTAAGGGGCAGGCATTTGGCTTAGGAGCAAAGATGCTGCTTGGGATGCCCACCTCCCACATCAGAGTGCCTGGATTTGACTCTGTTCTGGCTGCCGGATTCCTGCTCATACCTGTCCTGAGAGGCAGTAGGTGATACTAGCTCAAGTACTCAGGTTCTGGCCACCAACATGAGAGGCCTGGATGGAGCACCTGGCTCCTGACTTTGGCCTGGTCCAGCCCTGATTGGCTATTGCAGACATTTGGGGAATGAACCAGTTGAATAGAGTCTCTCTCTCTCTCGTGACACAGATAGATAAAGTAATTATGGAGTTCATGCCAACACTTAAGTTCTGGTTTGCTCTTTTCTGGCCAAGATCAGTGGAGTACAGCAGAAAGAACACAGAATATGGAGTCTTGTAGCTCTGTTCAAATTCCAGTTCTGTAGTTAACTTGCTTGGGCAAGTTGCTTATAATGGCTCAACCTTAGGGTATAAATGTGAATTACAAACCAAGAAACCAAGGTCAATTCCTATTATTCCACTTTGTGTTCATTTTGAGCCTGTTACTGGTACTGGGAGCATGGTCTCCCCAAGCTGCAAGCCTCTCATACTCAGCATACTGTGACCAGGTGACCTTTCTAGAACTCAGTTTGACAGTACCAGAGGGTGACAGTGGGGCAGGAAGGGAAAGATGACTTTGTGGCTTTGTGTTCTCCACTCTGATTCCTAGGGGATGCTGTCTATTTGGACAGCGAGCCTCAGAGGCAGGAGTATGTGGTGAACGACTATGGCTTCATCTACCAAGGAAACAAGAACTGGATCCGTCCATGCCCCTGGAATTATGGACAAGTGAGTCAGTCCTGTTCCTGAACCATTCAGGTTGTAAGCTATCAGGCTGTGGAGGGGGAGGGCACTGGTAGGAGCAGGAAGCACTGCTGAACGGTGCTGACCAAATGCCACCATGAAGGCATGGTTTATGATCCCAGCTTGTTAGAGGAACAGACATGAGAAGACAAATTCTGTTCTTTGCTGATCATGTGTGTTTTGGACAACAGGACCCCAGAGGAAAGGGCTAGAAAGGCTGCGTAGCTGAAAGTCCACTAAGAATGAGCTGAGGATGAGGAGGGTGTCAATCATAATAGTGGTGATGGAGCCTGGCTATAGTAGGGTCTCATTTTTCACTGTGTCACTTCATCTTCACAGCCCCAGGTGACACAGCCCAGCATCAACTTATATCACATTAATTAAAATTGGCCCTCCATCATCTCAGCCAGAATCAGGCTGAGGAGCAGAGATTCCTCTCCCTCCCTGGGACTACAGCCTCTTCTCTTTGTGATAAATCCTCCTCCTCACAGAATATCTGATTATTAAAGGAAGGAAAAAAGTTGAAAAACACATCACAGAAATGGATACTTGCAAGCACCCACCTCACTGGCTTGGAAAATGTTCCTTTCTGGGTGGTTTCTTACACATATTCTGCACTTTTCTATATAAGCATAGTGTCGTGTGAATGACAACGCTCTACTACTTCTGTCTGTCTCAAAGACTGCCTCTCACTGCAGGCTCAGTCCACAGCAGGTGCTTCAGGGCCAGCCAGGCAAGGGGTTTGCTAGGCTGAAAGCCTGGTGCCAGGAGCTCTGTGGGAGGGAAGGGGGTCACGTTTTACCCTTGAGCTCCTGATCAGGTATCTGTTGTCATTCGTGAGGAACAGTAGCAAGGAGTTACTGCTCTCTGAGCCCTTAGGTCTTTCCCTTTCTTCTTTCTTCAATAAATATACATTGGATGTCTGCTGGTACCTGGCAGAGACCTAAGTGTTAGGGACAAAAAAAAAAAAAAAAAGAACCAAACATAGTCCCTGAGGATTCAGACCCAGCAACAAGTCACTTATCATGAAGAAGAGGGACAAAAGATGAGAGCTGGGTGCTTAGTGTTCTGGGAGCCTGGGGAAAGGCCTGTGGGTTGGACGTGGGGATATGGGAGGAAGATTCCTGAAAGAAGAGCCTTAAATTGAGTTAGCTAGGAGAAGCAGCAGAGAAGACCACCAAGGCAGAGGGAAAGTATGAGCAAAGACATGAAGGTTTGGAAAGGGGGAAGGCTGGCCTGCTGCAGAGGAAATGAACGCAGTATTGCTGGAGCAACAATCATGGACAAACAAGTGGGGATTGAGACCGTGAGGCTGGGGTAGGAGGGACATCCGGCCAGAAGGGATCTTTTTTGTGCCTTCTACAGAATGGGGCCTTGATTCTTTAGGGACATTTTAAAGCAGAAAAGTGAACTGATCATGCTGATGGGCAAGATGGCTCTGAGAAGCCTCTGTATTCAACATGCTGTTCAGTGTTACTGGGGATAAATGTGTTTGCTTGTTTTCTTTTGGCCAAGGTGTTCAGAGCATCTAGCTTATGCTGGACACTGTGCTGGGTCTGGGGTTGAGAGTGGGAAGAAAAGCTGGACTGAGACAGAGTTGATGCTCAAGCAGGGGACATAAGCCTTGACTCTATCATGTAACTGGATAATGAGTACAGGGAGTACATCCAGGGCCACAGAGCTACTATAGTAGGCTCAGACTGGTGAAGGGCTCGGAGGAGGTGACCTCATACCACACCTGAAGGATGGAAAGGAGCCAGACTGTCTTGAGTGGGCAGTTTCCATAACTCACTTACTATTAATCCAGGTGCTAGCATAGAATGGTACCATTGTGACCAGCATATGCAGATATACGTGGAAGAAGAGGAAAAGTAATTTTACTGAGCAAATCCAAAGGAGTTGGGGATTGAGAGATTGAGAGGGAGATACAGACTTACCAGCTAGTCAGACTCACTGGAAGAAAGACCCTATGGTAACACAGGCCACTTCTAAGTGAAGGAGGAGGGTGAGATTTATAAGACAGAGGCACCCAGAGCTCTGAACCCCACATGTGCCTGAGAGGTGGTTCTTTTTGTCCCAGTTAACTTCCAAAAGGGCTCGTCTTTCTCCAACACTGTGGCAGAGTTGGAGATGGGTGGGTTCTGTATCCCTTTACATGGCCCAACATGCCAGCATGTGAATCTCTCCTGTCTGCGCCTGTCTTCCCTGCAGTTTGAAGACAATATTGTAGACATCTGCCTGGAGCTGCTGGACAAGAGCCTGAACTTCCATGTGGATCCATCCACAGACTGTGCTCTGCGGGGCAGCCCTGTCTATATCAGCAGAGTGGTGTGCGCCATGGTGAGATCACTGGTGTGCCCAGGAAGGGAGCAAGCTGGGGGTGGGGGGTGTGCAGAGCCCTGTCCACTCCCTTGCATCTGGGAGGAAAGGAGGGAGGAAGGTATACAGGGAGGGAGGAGGGAGGGATCGACAAGCCCTTCGGCCAACCAATCCTGGATGAGATTCATGCCAAAATGTGGAGAAGGCATTTTCATAGCTGAACTTGAAAACAGCCCAGCTGGGGCGGGCTGCCACCTCTGCTAATTCCATGTTGTATTTTTGGGAAAGACAGTGTGGTTCTGGTTGGAGAAATGTTTCCCCCCTCCCATCCCTATGCTAAATTTCATTTGTAAAGCCCCCAAAGCCCAACTCCAGGATATAAACAGAATAAACTGAGAGTAGAGCAAAAATCAGAATAGCTGGTTTCCTCTCCTTCCCTGTCCCAACTCATCTTGAAGTTTCCCAGTAAAATGAGGTCCAGGGTAATGGTTCAGGCCCATGGGCTTTATAGCACAGCCACACAGTACAGGAAAAACATGCTTCTAACCCTATACATGGCTTCTCTTCAGATCAACAGCAATGATGACAGTGGCGTGCTCAATGGCAACTGGAGTGAGAATTATTCAGATGGGGTCAACCCTGCAGAATGGACAGGCAGTGTGGCCATCCTGAAGCAGTGGCATGCCATGGGCTGTCAGCCGGTGCGCTATGGGCAGTGCTGGGTCTTTGCTGCTGTCATGTGCACAGGTAGGAGGTGGAAGGGATCCCATGAAAAGACTAAAAGTGCAACAGCTTGGGGATGGGCCCACTCAACCACTCGTGTCCTCCTCTCACACAGTCCCTGCTAGGGGACATTCCCACTGAAATGTCCACCTTCCCATCCTGATTTGTGGAGTGGAAACCTCTCACTTCCCGAGACTGGCTGCCTTTTCTTTAGAACATTTTCCTCAGAGTCTAGCTGGGAATCACCCAGGTTCAAGGTAGAAATATGAGGTCAAACAATTAGAATTTTTACAAACTGCGCCCTTTCTGAGCACAGAGACCAGGATTAATGGAGGTACACACATGGAGGGAAAATGTGCATTGAGCTGTAAAACAGGTCTCAGGATTGGAACAGGATGGCAATGAGCTTGAAATACAATGAGTTTGAACTGGAGTTGCTACAAGATCAGAAGGCCTGGGTGCTTGACTCATCTCAGGAAGTTAGGGAATATAAGGAGGAAAAAGAAAAAAAAAATTTTTTTTCAGATGGGAAGTGAATACTACATGAGTAAAAGAAATTCTAAAATACACACACAGAGAAAATAAGCAAATGGAAACTGGGTAGTGTATGGCAGGGATCAAGCAGCAGAGGGAGGTAGGGAGGAAATCTCCAGGGAAGTGACATCTCAAAATGAGTCACACGCTGGAGGTGACAGTAGGAGGCCCTCTGCCTCACCCAGGGCCAGGAGCTTGTTCCTGGTTCTCACTCTTAGTCTGCCCCCAGTCAAGGCTGGTTCTCAGCCTCATGGCACGCAACTCTATGGGTGGACTTGGGTCACAGTCAGTGGTTATTTGTGTTAGCTGAGGAAGGAGGTACAATGCGATTTTTGCAGGCAGGACTGTTCAGCTGAATTCAGGGAGGGTAGGTTCACCCGTAAGTTGGGAAGTGTGGAGGGCTAAGGCCTCCTGTTTGGAAATTCCCATGGGACAGGGTTTATACAATCTGTGTGTGTGTGTGTGTGTGTGTGTGTGTGTGTGTGTGTGTGTGTTGATCCCATGTCTGAGAAATGTGATCGCTCTGGAGGAATCCCTAAGAACAGATAGCACTAAGCCTCTGTGCATGACTCAAAGAGGCTTCTGTCACTGGGGATCTAGAGGATGCCTTCATAGGAGCTGATGATGCAGTCCTGAGTTTATTCCTCCTGCCTGGAAGCTGCCCTATCTTAAGTGGGATGCTCTGGTTGCTCATGGATCAGGAGCTTTGATACAAGAGTCTTGGAGATGTGGATGCAGTTGGAGGTCTGACTCATTCAGGAAGCATGGACGAGACTGCTGACTGACAGGCAGAGAATGATCTTATGTAAGATAGAGAGGGAAGCTTCCCGTGTATCAAAAAACCCAATGTGTGGCCAAGTGTGCGTGTGTGCAAAGGGAGAGGGCTGTGTTTGGGTGTGGCTGTCTGGAACTAGGTGATGAAAGAGGTGGAGCCAGTGGTTGGAGATTAGGCCCTGAAAGCAGACCAATTAAAGTGTTTACAAGATGAATGGCCCTTTAGTGACCTGGGAAGCCAACATGGCCCAGTTCAGTAACAGCAATCAGCACCAGTCTTCCCCCGAAGGGCCACTGTGTGCTATACTAATAAATATATCACTTGGAAAAACTCGTTAACTCATCTGGCTCTTATCGAGTCCTTGTTCTATGCCAGGCACTGTGTTCCAAGGACTCTTTAAGTACAGAGAAAGGAAAGAACTTACATCTATCCTCTTACCCAGGTTAAAATTAAGGACTTAATCAAACTCCTTAACCCAAATACAACTGCCAGAGAATGTTCAATTTTATTATTATTACTTTACAGCTAACATTTACTGGGGATTTGTTTTGTGCCAGGCACTGTGTGAGAATTTGACAGCTTAAGATGGTGACAAAACATGCCAACTATGGAGGCAGACTGCATGAGTTAATAGCTTTACCCCTTTTCAGTAGCAAGTAAAATCAAAATTGCGGAGAGAATCAAATCCAACATACGAGTAGACTGTGCATTTTCTTGTGATACAGGCATTTTTAAGGAAATATAATTTTTAAAATGCATCAATTTATTTATCTAAGATTTTTCATTTATTTGTTGAAAATAGAGAAAAATATGGGCCTGGCGCCCGGGATCCCATATGGGCGCCGGTTCTAATCCCGGAAGCCCTGCTTCCCTTCCAGCTCCCTGCCTGTGGCCCCAGAAAGCAGTCGAGGACGGCCCAAAGCTTTGGGACCCTGCACCCGCGTGGGAGACCCAGAAGAGGCTCCTGGCTTCGGACCGGCATAGTATCGGCCGTTGTGCTCACTTGGGGAGTGAATCATTGGACGGAAGATCTTCCTCTCTGTCTCTCCTCTCTGTATATCCACCTTTCCAAAAAAAAAAAAAAAATTAAATAAAAATAATAAAAAAATAAATCTTTTTAAAAAAAAGAAAATAGAGAAAAATAGATATCTTCCTTCTTCTAGTTCACTCCTCAAATGCCTATAACAACTGGGGCTGGACAAGATTAAATTCAGGAGCATGCAACCTAATCTGGGTCCCCTGTGTGGGTACAGGGCCTTACATATGTGAGCCAGCACCTGCTGGGAGCACATTATCCAGAAGATTAAATTGTAAACAAGAAACAAAAAAGGAAAAATAAAAAACAAAACAAGACAAAAAGCAATACAAGAAAAGAAAAGAAATTATAAACAGAGTCAAGACTCAAACCTAGGCATTCTAATGTGGGTGTCCTTAACTACTGCACCAAATTCCCACCCCAGAAAATTAAACTTCAAAATTAAGCATAGTAAGAGATTTTCAGTAACTGATGATAAAATAGAACATTTTAGCATTAGTAATAGGAGTCTTAAAAATGCTTGTGGAAATGCATATTATGAAAAAATTATACATGGATTTCAAAAATTTTGCACCAAAATAAATTCGTCTTTTAATTATTTCCATGGACTTTTTGAGGTTCTGTCATTTAATATAATGAAGTTATGATGAGGTGGCTGTTTGGCAGGACAGTAAAGACCCAGCTTGGGACACTAGTATCCCATATCAAAGTGCCTGGGTTCAAATCTTGCCTCTGTTTTCCATCTAGCTTCCTACTAACGCTTATCGTGGGAGGTAGCAGGTAATGATTCAAGTACTGGGATCCCTGCCATCCATCCAGTAGACCCAGATGGAGGTCCAGGCTCCTGGCTTCGGCCTGGCACATCCCCAGCTGTGTGGGCATTTGAACAGTGGATGGAAGAGCTCTGTCTCTCTACCTTTCAAATAAACATAAGTGAGTTAAAATGTAGAAATATTTAGAATTGCCAGCATGTTAGAACGCTTGCATTTTGGGGCCATTCATAAATAAGTTTCTTGCAAATAAGAACTGTCAAACTGTGATAGTCAATTTGATAATCAGGAAGGCAATGAGGTGACTAATGGACAAGTAGCATAATCAATGTGGATACAGTGGACAAATGCATTCACCTCCCAGACAGGATTCAGAGGGAGGGGACAAGATTTCATGACAGTAACTCAGAATGGTGTACAATTTTAAATGCACTGTTAATTTCTGGAGGTTTTAATGTAACATTTTTGGAATGTGGTTGAATCCAGGTAATTGAAAACATGGAGCAGGACACTACAGATCAACAGAGACTGTTGTCAATACCAGCATTATTTGGCTGAGTATCCACGGGCAAGTCACTGAGGTTGTGCCTCAGTTTTTTCAGCTATGCGATGACAAGCGTGAGGAGAGTGATGGTGCCTTTTCCCTAGGATTATTGAAAAGATTAAGTGATTTCATACTTGGAGAGTGCTTAGAACAGTGACAGCTACCATAAGGGTCCAGTGTTAGCTAAGGTTATATCATCTGGTTCTCTGAATAATCTTGGGAGCCAAGTCTTTTCATTTCCATTTTATAGGACAGCAAATTAAGTGTCACAGCTGGTCTCACTCTCAGGTGTGGCTAGCTCTGCAGTCCATCCTCTAAGCTGCTTCATGTACACTGCTGGCAGCTGCCGTCTGGCATCCACTGAGCTTCAGTCACACTGAGTGTGACTGAGTTGTATTATTGCTATGTTTTATTATTTGAGAGATAGGCAGAGAAATCTTTCATCCATTGGTCTGCTCCCCAAATGCTACTAACAACTGAGCTGGGCTAAAGTCAAAGCCAGAAATGTAATTAGATCTTTCATGTATGTGGCAGGAATACAGTATTCAATTGTCATCACACATACTTCCCAGGGGGTCTGCACTGGCAGGAAGTCAGAATCAGGGGCAGAAGTTGAATCTGAACCCAAGTTCTCTTCTATGGGATACGGGAATCTTAACCAGCATCTTAACTGCTAAGCTAAGTGCCAGCTCCAGTTCCCTATTCCAAATATTCATAAATCCTGCAAATCAGATATTAAATACCTATTTAATAGGCAAGAAAATAGAGACTTAAAGTGACCAATTAACTCTGTACGACTCAGAAAGGCATGCTCCCCTCTGCAGCCATGTCTTCTGGTATTGCTTTTTACAGTGTCAACATATTCCTTCAGCTTCCTATAGAAAAATCACAGGAGGCTTTGTGTGCATCAAAGACACAGTTACAGGGGCCAGCTCTATGATGTGGCAGGTAAAGAGACATCTGCAGTGCCAGCATCCCATATGGACACTAGTTCCTGTCTTGCCTGCTCTGCTTCTCATCCAGCTCCCCACGGGTGGCCTGGGAAAACAGCAGAGAACTGTCTAAGTCATCAAGCCCCTGCACTCATGTGGACAAGGCTCTGGGCTCCAGTTGGTCCTAGCCCTGGTCATTACAGCCATTTGGTGAGTGAACCAGCAGATGAAGATCTCTGTCGCTCTGTAACTCTTTCAAATAAATAAATCTTACAAAGGAGATTGGGGAGAGAGACACTGTTACAACCTTTTGTTATTTCCTTGGCATTCATTTAGTTCCTTGCTATTTGGGAATTTCAGAGAACTCATGGTTTACCCTTCCTGTGCTCAGGACAAGACTCTTCCCTTCCCACAGAATTCTTGATCACCAGAC